GACAATAATATTTTTGTAGATTGGGACCCGTATCAGCTCAGTGCCTCTAACTTACAGTTGTTCTCAAAGCGGGGTGTCATTATTCTTGTCGACACTAGTGAGCCAACAGCTAAGAGTTTGAGTTTTGGTGGCAGTTATATGACACCAAGGGGAAGAGTGTATCACGTAGATGTACACTGTAGAGATGTAGCTCTGTGTCAGGCTCATATCAAACACCATGTAGGCAGAGCTTGTCATGAGTACGAAGGGATGATCACGTTCTGTGTAATGTTGATTGACCCGTCCCTGAAAACCACAAGCAAAACCTTTTGTGTGGAGAAGTTGGGGCTGGTTCACCTTCCCCACGATCACAGGTACTTGTATGTCAAATTTTGGAATCCAGAATCGGATCCTAGGAAGTCACGCCTTTGAGACCACACAAGACCGTACACATGCCACGTCTCTCTCTGTACTGTACTATGAAAATTTCTAGAATGGTTGAACTATTCAGGAATAAACAACAAATGTGTCTTCAGAAGGTATGTCGGTTCATTTCGCCTCTACTGTGAAGGGAGTACTAGTATTAGGTATCAAGGTCGACAGGTCAAGGTCGGATCAGTTTCGGGTCATAGTTGAGATAAGTAGGTACGTGGAGGTGCTTGGCGTAATGGCGCTGTGGCGGAATGTTCGCCGGGGGGTGTCTGCCTACCTATGGAATGGTCAAATGAGCCTCTCTACACGGAGAGGCGTGGTAAGTCGGCGATTTCATAAATTTCGTTTTAACGAGCGACTGTCCCGACAGCGGTCGGTAGCAAAGCGATCCCGATTGTGCGACAGGGGACAGCATATTGTCAAAACAAAGAGCTCCCTCAATGGTTAAAACTATAGCTAGTTACCTTTATGACAATTAGACCAATCTACACTCAGATAATGGCTAATTAATAAACTGGTTTTGCAGGCAAACCAAGACAGTTTCCACCTGACATGCCGTGAAGCCACACACGGTGACTACGACGCCGTCATGAACATGGCGTCAGTAGACACATTCCGGGACGGGTTCGACTACCTGCCCGCCAAGTTTCACAAATGGGTGGACGACCCAGACGTCAAACTGTTAGTAGCCGAAGCTGATAACAAAATGGTATGTATGGTATGTGTTAACATTAGTAATTGTTATGTCTTAAGCTCACCAGCCTTGTAGGAATGAAGGCATATGAGCCATAGTTTTTGTTTTGTTGATTGTCCTCAGCAGAGTTTGAATCTTGTACCACTGAAGTAATTAATCTCTAAAAATATTGCCTTTGCAGCTTGGCATGTATGTGAGCATTATAACCGATGGCGGTGCAAGTCTGCTGAGCAAAACTATCCGGATAGCCCCAGAACTGCAGGGGAAGAAGTTCATGACGAAACTGGTGGTAGGACTTCATAAAGCTCTACAGCTGCGTTATCCGGGGCTGCTGCAACTGGAGCAACGTAACCTGGTGGACGTCAAGCGTCCCTACCTTAAGAAATACTTTTCGGACGTGAAGGACATCTGTTTTATAGCAAGTATCTCTTTATTTACTCACGTGCATGCATTGACACATCTACACACGCGCGCACAAACACTCGCACACACACTCTCTCCACACTCACTCACTCACTCACTCAGTCACGCACCGTACATGCACACACACACACACACACACACACACACACACACACACACACACACACACACACACACACACACACACACACACTCACACACACACTCACACACACACACACACACACACACACACACACACACACACACACACACACACACACACACACACACACACACACACACACACACACACACACACTCACACACACACACACACACACACACACACACTCACAGACGCACTCAAAATGATTTCCTTTTGTATACAATATGCTACTATACTATGAGCAATAGCCACTGATTGTGTCCATGATAACAATTCACTAATTCAGTTGCTAATGAATGGCTCACAGCTGCAATTAAGAGGTTACACACAGACTAATAACACATGACACATAACAAAGCATAACCATCATAACCATTCTTTCTAATTCCAGGATGTCATGTACTTCCAAGGCAAGTCTAACGAAGTGCTGGATAGTTTACGTTTGGAAACCAAGGACGTTCTTCCATCTCCTCCACACCCACCAGTGGTGCCCTACCAACCTTCCGACATGGCGCGGCTGGCAAGGCCAGAGTTCTCCAAGCAGATCCTAGTTGACAATAATATTTTTGTAGATTGGGACCCGTATCAGCTCAGAGCCTCTAACTTACACTTGTTCTCAAAGCGGGGTGTCATTATTCTTGTCGACACTAGTGAGCCAACAGCTAAGAGTTTGAGTTTTGGTGGCAGTTATATGGCACCAAGGGGAAGAGTGTACCACGTAGATGTACACTGTAGAGATGTAGCTCTGTGTCAGGCTCATATCAAACACCATGTAGGCAGAGCTTGTCATGAGTACGAAGGGATGATCAAGTTCTGTGTAATGCTGATTGACCCGTCCCTGAAAACCACAAGCAAAACCCTTTGTGTGGAGAGGTTGGGCTTGGTTTACCTTCCCCACGACCACAGGTACTTGTATTTCACATTTAGTGTATGATGCCAGTTCTGTCGGATGGATCCTAGCAAGTCACGCCATAATTTGAAGATGCCGAGAGACCATGGGTATAGTTTGTTACATCATCTTTTTAGACAACCTGCCCCAACTGCATGATGCATCATAGAGCAAGAATAAAGGATTATTTGTTTTAATATGTTCTGTACTAATTACTCTTACCACTTTTCATGATGATGACTTAGATATGACAACACAATGATATTTTTTTCTGAACTTTATATAATATATTGACCCAAAATAAGTTGAGGCGACTCGCCTCGACACCGAAGACTATATTGCACCGTCAGGCTAGAAAAAAATGACAATTTGTCGTTATAGCCCCCCTCCCCCATTCAAGCCCTCTTTCAATGCCCTTGGATATTTTTCGACTTTACCCGGAAAGTTTGAGCATGCTCAAAAGATTCACAGGTGGCCGGAAGTTGGCCGGGTTCAAGAATGGGTACAACTTTTTTGTAATGTGGTAAAAATTTCAAGAAATCGTTCAAATATCCAGGAATAAACAACAAATGTGCTTTCAGACGGCATTCGGGTTCATTTCAACTCTACTGTGAAGGGGGTATTAGGTATCAAGGTCACTAAGGGATCAGTTTCACCTATCGGTTCCGGGTCAGAGTTGAGATAAGTAGGTACGCGGAAGTGCTTGGCGGAATGGCGCTGTGGCGGAATGTTCGCCTGGGGGTGTCTGCCTACCTACGACACCGTAAGATGGAACTCTCTCCACGCCAGCACGACTACGCATGGAGAGACATGGTAAGTCGGTAATTTTACTGAATATCGTTATAATGAGTGACTGTTCACGTAATGTTACCGCGGTCATCATGGTAAGATTGTAAACACAAGTGTAGTGTCAGCCGGGATTGTCACTACGGTAGTTTTCTTAATATCTGAATTGGTCTATGTGACGGCTGAACGAAACGCAACAAAGCACAACACAGCATAGCACATCACCGCCTACACTGTCATAACCGTCATGGTATAACTTCGGGTCGACACTAGTTTATATGGAAAAACCCCTGACACACATTCAGGACATTCCTTCGACTTTGATACCGCCGCCCCCCTCAACACACATAAGATCATATAATGCTGCCTGGGATCAGCTACAGTTCGCTCCCCTTATCGCAAGCAAGCAGAATATGACTTTCTCGACTATAATTTTTCAAAATTTATACGAAATATTTATTTGGATTTACATTTCATTTATTGATATAACCTCCGTTTTAATTTAAGAGCACCTTTTAGCCAAATTATCTTCTAATCTATGCTATCTGTTATGTTGTATTTTCTAATCTGTGCAACTTAACGGTAATGATGGTTAAATTGGTTTACAGGCGAACCAAGACAGCCTCCACCTGACTTACCGTGAAGCCAGGCACAGTGACTACGACGCCGTCATGAACATTATAAGCGTCAGTAGACACATTCCGGGACGGGTTCGACTACCTGCCCGCCAAGTTTCACCAATGGGTGGACGACCCGGAAGCCATAATGTTAGTAGCCGAAGCTGACGACAAAGTGGTACGTAATTGTCATCTTTTCTCTTAGTATGAAAAGGAATTATATTCGTAATCAAAATTTAGCCACTGTGTGTTACTACCTTTGTCAGTGTATAGGTTATGGACGTAAACGTATTGAAATCAGTACATAATTTGTATAATTTATGATTAAACGCTAGTATTGCTTTCTTTGTTAAGATAAGACTGTCATAGGAGGAGAATAGGATCAAGTCTTATTTACATAATGAAGAGGAAGCATAATAAGAAACATTAACAGTTCGTCAGTTGCAAATGTTAAATCATCTGGCGAGTGTATGAGGTCGTAGACTTTCTTTCTTTCTTATTATATTATACATCTGAAATAATTTCTGACAATGTTGCCTTTGCAGCTTGGCGTGAATGTGACGGAGGTGCAAGTCTCTTGTGGAAAACCAGTCGGATAGCCTCGGAACTGCGGGGAAAGAAATTCTACGCGAAAATTATGGGAGAATTTGATAAAACGCTGATGATTCTACATCCAGGGCTGCTGCAACTGGAGCGACATGGAACGGCGAATGCCAACCGCCCCTACCTTTTGAACTACTTTTCGAACAGGAAGGAGATTTGTTTGTTAGTAAGTGTCCCTTTATTTTTACCTCGATAGTCTGTCTCGATGTGGACCAATATATTCATAACTCACTCACATTCATAACTCACTCACATTATGACTTTTGTGTGCACATATATAGGCACAGACAAACACACAAATGAGCCCACATACATACACAAATGCATGGAACACTTGCAAGATGCATTTGGACACGATGTATTTTGAAAATGAGCACTTAACTTACAGCCTTAACCGTCCTTTCTAATTGCAGGATGTCATGTACTTTCAAGGCAAGTCTAACGAAGTCCTGGATAGTTTGGAAACCAAGGATGTTCTTCCATCCCCTCCACACCCACCAGTAGTGCCCTACCAACCTTCCGACATGGCGCGGATGACAAGGCCAGAGTTCTCACAGCAAATCCTGGTGGACAATTTTGTATTTGTAGATTTGGTCAGGTATCAGCTCAGTGTCTCTAACTTACATTTGTTCTCAAAGCGGGGTGTCATTATTCTCGTGGACACTATTGAACCAACAGCTAAGAGTTTGAGTTCTGGTGGCAGTTATATGACACCAAGGGGAAGATTGTATCACGTAGATGTACACTGTAGAGATGTAGCTCTGTGTCAGGCTCATATCAAACACCATGTAGGCAAAGCTTGCCATGAGTACGAAGGGCTGATCACGTTCTGTGTAATGTTGATTGACCCGTCCCTGAAAACCACAAGTAAAACATTTTGTGTGAAGAGGTTGGGCCTTGTTCACCTTCCCACGATCACAGGTACTTGTATGTATCTCAAATTTTGGAGTCCAGAATCGGATCCTAGCCAGTCACGCCTTTGAAAGACCACAAGACCGTAGACATGCCACACGCATGAGAGTGATTTCCCACACATTTAAGCTTTATAATAAAAACTACAGCATTTGAGATATATGCATTGCATATATTTGGAAAAGATATACCATCAGGAAGGCGAACCCATGTGCTTCAGTGTGATCAAACTGACGATGTTAAAATGGTTTGTAGTAGATATTTTTTAAGTAACTCAATTAAGGTTACGCAAAGGTTTGCACAACTCTTCTAATGTAGTAAAATGTCTAGAAATTGTTCAAATATCCAGGAATAAACAACAAGGTGCATTCAGACGGCAGACGGACATATAACTACTGACGGCATTCTGGTTCATTTTGCCTCTCCCTGTGAAGGGGGTATTAGGTATCAAGGTCTAAAGGCCACTGAGGGATCAGTTTCACCTACCGGTTCCGGGTCAGAGTTGAGATGTTAAAGTAGGTACGCGGAAGTGCTTGGCGGAATGGCGCTGTGGCGGAATGTTCGCTTTGGCGTGTCGGCCTACCTACGAAATCGTACGATTAAACTCTCTCCACGCCAGCGTGACTACGCATGGAGAGACATGGTAAGTCGGTAATTTTACTGAATATCGTTATAATGAGTGACTGTTCACGTAATGTTACCGCGGTCATCATGGTAAGATTGTAAACGTTAACACAAGTGTAGTGTCAGTGGATTGTCACTACGGTAGGTCTCTGAATATCTGAATTGGTCTATGTGACGGCTGAACGAAACGCAACAAAGCACAACACAGCATAGCACATCACCGCCTACACTGTCATAACCGTCATGGTATAACTTCGGGTCGACACTAGTTTATATGGAAAAACCCCTGACACACATTCAGGACATTCCTTCGACTTTGATACCGCCGCCCCCCTCAACACACATAAGATCATATAATGCTGCCTGGGATCAGCTACATGTTCGCTCCCCTTAATATCGCTAGCAAGCAGAATATGACTTTCTCGACTATAATGTTTCAAAATTTATACGAAATATTTATTTGGATTTACATTTATGATCATTTATTGATATAACCTCCGTTTTAATTTAAGAGCACCTTTTAGCCAAATTATCTTCTAATCTATGCTATCTGTTATGTTGTATTTTCTAATCTGTGCAACTTAACGGTAATGATGGTTAAATTGGTTTACAGGCGAACCAAGACAGCCTCCACCTGACTTACCGTGAAGCCAGGCACAGTGACTACGACGCCGTCATGAACATAGCGTCAGTAGACACATTCCGGGACGGGTTCGACTACCTGCCCGCCAAGTTTCACCAATGGGTGGACGACCCGGAAGCCATAATGTTAGTAGCCGAAGCCGAGGACAAAGTGGTACGTAATTGTCAATTTTTCTCTTAAAATAAAAAGGAATTATATTCGTAATTAAAATCTATCTACTGTACCATTTTTGTCACTGTAAAGGGTATGAACGTAAACTTATTCATGTCAGGGCATAATTTATTATTAAACGCTAGAATAGCTGTCATAGAGGGAGAATAGGATCAACTGATGTAATTCATACAAATGAGTGTCTTATTTACATAATGAAGAGGAAGCATAATATTAAGAAACATTAACAACTCGTCAGTCGTAAATGTTAAATCATCTGGCGAGTGTATGAGGTCGTAGATCTCTTGTTTTTCTTCAAAGAAGTGTTTGGATATTATACATCTGAAGTAATTTCTGACAATCATGAAAGTTCATCCGTGTTGGTAGTTACATGTTTAAGTTAAAACTTTTGGTCCAACACAAAAAAAGTTTTCTCACCTAGAGCTTTCAACCAGTCACTCTGGTCTTCCTCAGTAGACTGACCTAGTGAAGCTTGTCACGTGCCTTCTTTGAAGTGTGACGTCAACACTGGGTCAAAGGTATCTAGTACCGCGACGGGGACCGACATCGTCTACCAGATACCTTTGACCCAGGTTTGACGTCACACTTCAAAGAAGCCAGTTGACAAGCTTCACTGGGTCAGTCTACTGAGAAAGACCAGAGTGACTGGTCGAAAACTCTAGGTGAGAGACCTTTTTTGTGTTGGAAGTTTTAACTTTAAAACATAATTTCTGACAATGTTGCCTTTGCAGCTTGGCGTGAATGTGTGCATTATAACTGACGGTGGTGCAAGTCTATTGAGCAAAACCAGCCGGATAGCCTCAGAACTGCGGGGGAAGAAATTCTACGCGAAAGTTATGGAAGAATTTGATAAAACGCTGATGATTCTAAATCCGGGGCTGCTGCAACTAGAGCGACATGGAACGGCGAATGTTGACCGCCCCTACCTTTTGAAATACTTTTCGAACAGGAAGGATATTTGTTTGTTAGTAAGTATCCCTTCTTTTGTCTTGACAGTCTGTTTGAACAAAGATTCTTAAGTTACGAAGCCTTGAATAAACCAGCACTGGAGGTACTTGATAATGTGTTGAATGTAGTAGAGAACAGAGTACATGTATATACAGTTATGGCGTATGCTCGCGTATGATGTATGTGTGCACACATATTATATAGGCACAGACAAATACGCAAATGACCCCACTCACAACGCATAACACAATTGCAAGATGCATATGGATAAGTATTTGGAAAATGTGAAATTAACTTACAGCCTTAACCATCCTTTCTAATTCCAGGATGTCATGTACTTCCAAGGCACGTCTAACGAAGTCCTGGATAGTTTGGAAACCAAGGATGTTCTTCCATCTTCTCCACACCCACCAGTAGTGCCCTACCAACCTTCCGACATGGCGCGGCTGGCAAGGCCAGAGTTTTCACAGCAAATTCTGGTGGACAATTTTGTATTTGTAGATTGGGACAAGTATCAGCTCAGTGCCTCTAACTTACATTTGTTCTCAAAGCGGGGTGTCATCATTGTCGTGGACACTATTGAGCCAACAGCTAAGAGTTTGAGTTTTGGTGGCAGTTACATGACACCAAGGGGAAGAGTGTACCACGTAGATGTACACTGTAGAGATGTAGCTCTGTGTCAGGCTCATATCAAACACCATGTAGGCAGAGCTTGTCATGAGTACGAAGGGATGATCACGTTCTGTGTAATGTTGATTGACCCGTGCCTGAAAACCACAAGCAAAACCTTTTGTGTGGAGAGTTTGAAGTTGGTTCACCTTCCCCGCGATCACAGGTATGTGTGTTTTAGCTTTATGGAGCGAGTTCGTTCGGAGCCTGGCAAGCCACGCCTTTGAAATACAACAAGACCTTCATACATAGCAATTTCAACTTTTGCCAACAGATAAACTGTCGACTTAGTCACTTAAGGTTACCCAAGTGAAAGCATGTAGAGGTTTATTTATTTTTTACACCATCTTTTAGACAACCTAGCCAAACTACATGTACGTGAACCTGGAAGACAAGAATAAAGTATTATTGTTTTTATTAACATGTTAAATGTTTTGAGTTATTCTTACATTTCTTTTTCGCACCGTTCAGTCAATAGTCCAAAATTAAGGGACCCCTCCCTTTTCAAACATCCTGGCACGACATATAGGGTGCAGGTACACCTGTTGGGGGCTTCCGCCTTCATAAGAGAAAAAATAGATCCAGACCTGTCACCTGTGTTGTATCTAGAACCGCGATTTATCCAGGACCATCCTCAGACCATCCTTCTGGACAGTTCATGAGTATCCAGAACCGTGCCTCAGGCAAACCTACGCCCCTGGATACGCAGCATCACTGCCAAGAAAAGCGCTAGGTAAATATGGATTCTTTCTCACCCCCGTTGATGAATGGAATCTTCCAAGGGGAATCCCCTTCCCTAATTACTACGCCACATAAAGGGGAGTCACGTCGGGGATTTCCGCGTTCGCTGGTGCCAGTCGCGAACTGAGATCTAGACCAACAGTGTTATATCCAGCGGGAGTTAAAAGGTAAGATTTTACATGAAACCTTTACCATAAACATCACAACATTCTAGCGGTCAAACCCGAACGCACCTTGTACCAGTACCAGTGGGGAAAAAGTCGACGTAACATGAATGTGTTGCGTCGCGTACGTACGTAGCCTAACCTCCTTGCCTAACTCGCCCCCCCCCCCACCTTCCAAAATATGACGTCGTCTCCTATCCTGTTTGCTATACATACACACAAATATATACATTCATATGTATATATATATATATAGAATGTGCTGAATATATACATATATATTCAGCACATCCATGATCCGTACCATTCTTATTTCCTTTCAGATCAAGGAACCCTAGTACGTTTGTAGTGTGAGCTTAGTTCCAATATTTTGCATTGCTATTATGCACCATACGTTAGTAAGTTCATCGGTATCATGAAAGATTTAAAAACAGTGTGAGGACACAAAGAACTCTATATCGCACTTGACACAGGGCAGGGAAGATCAAAGAACAGATTGTGATTTTATAAGCAAAGAAATCCTTGGAACAAACATGTCACACACTGAGCTGTCTGCAGTGGTGGACGGATTTAGGGAACTAGATCTTATCTTTCAAAGTGGTTCTGATCTGGACGTTGTAGAGAGGGGATACGCACGGAAGTTGGTTCACGCCATCAGTAGCCAAAATGTAGTCATTGAGTGTGAAGCCTTAAAAGGTCTGGGAGATCTGTACCTGCACAAAGCAAAGAAGAACCATGGTAAAGTAGAGAACTTCCACAAGGCTTGCTCGTTGTACACAGAACTCTTACGATATTACACTAGTCGTGAGGAGAAGCAAGTTGTACAACATCGCATAAGATATGCAGAGAAGTGCACGAAACTGAGCCATTATGAAGAGACTGCAAAATCATCTGCAACAAATTCAGGCAATACCCTATTGGCTGTGTCAATGACGCTTCACGAAGTGAAAACCAAGGTAAAAGGATATGGTACGGTCACATTGATTGAGGGTTATACAGATACGTTAGTGAAAGCGATCGTGGAACGAAACAAACGCCTGCAAATAGAGTCGTTGAAGAGCCTGGGAGATGTGTACCTGGAGAAGGGAAGGGTTGGTAAGGACGAGACAGCGTTCACGGAATCAGCTGGTCTGTACCGAGCGGCGCTGGACCGCTGTGAAGATTCTGACGACAGAGAAACGCTACTACACCGCATCAAGTACACGGAGAAAGTCAAGGGAAAAGAATACAAGGTTAGAAAGTGCAAATCATTTTCGATCATATGACAAATTATCAACCAATGTACTTCTCGTAATGCATGTACAGGATATACGATTTACAGTTGGAAATATATGGTTTAAATCCTACGTTTTCTTGCTTGCAATGAGAGTGTTTCTGCGAATATAAACCAAAGTTTGCATCTTCATAATATCTTCATCACAGAAGGCAGTAAAACGTCTAGACAGGGGACTACTATGGAACAAGAAAATTGAAAACAGCAGTGAAGAGGCACAGAAAGTCACCGACAGGTAGGTTGTGTGTGCTGTTTTCTTCAGTATGCACAAAGTTAGATTTGATTTGATTTGATTTATTTATTATGCACAGACAAAGTTAGACTGATACTCAGTCCAGTCATGGGTACAATTCAAAACTCACCACATGTACAGGTTAACATTACATTACTCTTACAGCATCACTATCCAGGCAATAATAATAAGGTCATTAATTGTGACCCATTCTCTGCAGTGAGTACAAGGACCACATACAGAAGGGCTGCAAAGCCATGCAGACAGGGGGCCTGGACACGGCAGAACGACACTTTGCAGCTGCGCTCAAGGTCGTCCATTTGAATGGTGAGTTTTTAGTGTACATATCACAAGAAGACAGGCTTCATATTTAGTAAAGTCAAGTAAAAAACGTTTTGTTTGTGCACCACACACTTCATCTATTTAATTGGAAAAGGAGAATAGTATCTTTCTAGAGTTACTCAAGATCACCATCTATGGAAAGTAACTGTCGTTTGGTACAGTTTCAAATGCAGATCAGCGCTGGAAAGAAACAGAGGCCCTGTGCAAGTTGAGCGATGTCTACCTGAGCAGAGGTGAGCAGTCAAAAGACGGAGGTGATTTCACCAAGGCTGCAGCGCTCAGTAACGCAGCACTGGTGAGATCAAAGGCAGAAGACAGAGACGGCATCGAACAGACAATCCAGGAAATAACACACTCATTTGTTAAGCATGTCCTGAGTATCGAACAAATGGTACCCATTGATGATGTGGAAAAACACAAAGCGATGTTAGTAGAATGCCGGGGCTATGTAGAAGAAGAGCTCAAAAGAATTGAGCAACAGATAGATCCTTATAGTCTTGATGACAACGACCCAAAGATCAGGGAAGTAGAGGAAAAACGAGTGGACGCAAACAAAGACCTGTTTGACACCATTGTTCATCAGCGAAGAACATTCATAGCTGGCCTTGTAGATGAGTGTATAGAGGTAATGGGTCCCCCTCCCTGTAAGTACGCCATGATAGGACTAGGCTCACAAGCCATAGGTTTGGTAACACCATACTCCGATCTGGAGTTTGCTATCTTGATAGAGAAGGAATTAGAAACCAATGTCGAGTATTTTTCCAATCTCACGCACTATCTTCATCTGAAAGTGATCAATCTTGGGGAAACCATTCTCCCGGCCATGGCCATCAAGTCTCTCAATGACTTTGAGTCAGATAACGAGCTAGACAACTGGTTCTACGACTCAGCAACACCACGTGGTTTTTCGTTCGATGGAGCCATGCCACATGCTTGTAAAACGCCACTTGGAAGAGGTAAAACATGCCTGCTGATCCGCACACCACGTGACATGGCCAGAGTTCTAGAAGACGACGTTACGCTCCACCTAAAGAAAGGCTACCACCTAGCGAGTGTCTTGGGAAATGTCTCCTTGATTACTGGAGAGCAAAACTTGGTGGATGAATACACCGCTGCATGGGATCAGGAACGTACGAAAACTGGAAGTGACATTGCCAGGCTAATAGCAAACACAATGTTAAAGGAAAACATCCACGCATTTCAAAGACAGCAACTGAGTGTCCGACTGTTGGATGTAAAGAAAGAAATGTACCGTTTTTCAAGCCTTGCAGTGTCTTGCTGGGCGCTACTTTGTGACATTCAACCGACCTCAATCTGGGAGACTATCCAGAAAATGCACAATAGAGGAGCCATCAATGACGAGAATGCGCATCATTTAATGGTGTTGGTCAGCATCTCAGCAGAACTGAGGCTGCGGACATATATGAACAATCGTGGTCAAGTGGAAAATGTGTCAGTGTTATCATCAATGTCTAGAAATGATGACATTGAGGAGAAATCAAAGAAAATCTTTTTCTTCTCCAACATAAAACAGCTCATGAGATACTACTACACGGCCACACCTCTAAAGCGCCTTGCTTCGCAAATCAACAATCGTCATCCACTGGAAGAGCCGTCTATTCTATTTGACAACTCTCTGATACTACAAGCAGATGTGTATCAAAGCCTGTGCAACTATAAACAATCGAAGAAATGTATTGAACAGGCGCATCAAAAAGAGCTATCAAAACATGGGAAGGGCGCGATACACCCTGACATCGCCTTGTCACTTAACAACTTGGGTGCCGCCTGGAGTTACCTTGGTGATTACAGCAAGGCCGTCAGCTATCATGAACAGGCATTGAAGATGAGGCGGAGTATCTATGGTAAGAGAATCGCACATCATGACATCGCCCAGTCACTTCACAACTTGGGCACTGCCAGGAGTGGCCTTGGTGACAATAGAAAGGCCGTCAGTTATTATGAACAGGCACTGCAGATGAAGCGGTGTATTTATGGTGAGGGCATCGCATATCCTGACTTAGCCTCGTCACTTAACAATTTGGGTGCCGCCTGGAGGGACCTTGGTGATTACAGAAAGGCCGTCAGCTATTACGAACAGGCACTAGAGATGAATCAAAGTATCTTTGGCGAGAGCGTCGCACATCCTGACATCGCCAATTCACTTAACAACTTGGGTGTCACCTGGTGTGACCTTGGTAATTACAGAAACGGCATCAGCTCCTTTGAACAATCACTACAGATGAAGCACAATATGTATGGTAAGGGCGTCGCACATCCTGACATCGCCGAGTCACTTAGCAACCTGGGTATAGCTTGGAGTGATCTTGGTGATTACAGAAAGGCCGTCAACTATCATGAACAGTCCCTACAGATGAGACAAAGTATTTTTGGTAAGGGCATCGTACATCCCGAAATTATCGGGTCACTTAATAACTTGGGTACCGTTTTGAGTCACCTTGGTGATCACAGAAAGGCCATCAGCTATTTTGAACAGTCACTACAGATGACGCGGAGTATCTATGGTAAGAGCGTCGCACATCCTGACACCGCCATGTCACTAAGCAACTTGGGTTCGGCGTTGGGAAACTTACGTCATTATGGAGAGGCCATCTGCTACTTTGAACAGTCACTACAGATGAGGCGGAGTGTCTATGGTGAAGGCATAGCACATCCTAAGATAGCCTCATCACTTAACAACCTGGGCTTTGCCTGGGGAAAACTTGGTGATTACAGAAAGGCCATCAGCTATCACGAACAGTCACTACAGATGAGGTGGAGTATCTGTGGCGAGAGTGTTACACATCCCGATATAGCCTTGTCACTAAACAACATGGGTAACGCCTGGGGGAACCTTGGTGATTACGGAAAGGCCCTCAGCTATCATGAACAGGCACTACAGATGTGGCGGAGTGTCTATAGTGAGATCACGACACACTCTGACATCAACAAGGGAAATTCTAACATCGCCTCATCATTTAAAAACTTAGGTTCTTCCTGGGGAAACCTCGGTGATCACAGAAAGGCCATCAGCTACTTTGAACAGTCCCTACAGACGGAGCGGAGCATATATGGTGAACGCACTGCACATCCCGACATCGCCCAGTCACTTCACAACTTGTATGTTGCTTGGAGTGTGCTTGGGGATCGCAGAAAGGCAGCCTTCTATTATGATCAATGGACACGTATGAAGCAGAAGATTGATACGACGTATGAACCTTGACATTGCCTGTCTTTGAAAGAACTTTGTGTGTCCCAAAATATTGTTCAGTACATGTGAAGCGGTACACTGATGCAGTTTGATTCAAAAGGGACTGAAAAGTGTGGATGTTTCTCTTTTTTCTGTTTTAAATCAGAAATAAACAGCTATATGTTACTTGTTTGGTTTACCTTTGCCGGCCTTTTTTTCTTTTGTTACAGACCATTTTGCATCTCCAATAGACTTCTAATTATCATCATTGGGTTTAGTGTGCCTGCTTCCTTATTGCTTATCAATCAGATAAGTTTTGGCCATTCTGATTCTGGCCAATCAGAATCAAATAAATTTACATACGGATAAATTTATTGGTGTTTTCGTATAGTAAACACTGTTATATACTGATTGACAGGCGTAACATCAATGAATATAAAACTACCATGAACATCTGTATCTTTATAGCCGGTATAACCGCCCTTTGATGTAACACACCATCCTTTAGCTTTTTTCAGGTACTAGATGTCGCACTTACATATTTAATGCAAAATCTTATTGAAAATATTACTGTCGTTTGATACAGTTTTAAATGCAGATCAGCGCTGGAAAGAAACAGAGTCCCTGTGCAAGTTGAGCGATGTCTACCTGAGGAGAGGGGAGCAGTCAAAAGACGGAGGGGATTTCACCAAGGCCGCAGCACTCAGTAACGCAGCACTGGTGAGATCGAAGGCAGAAGACAGAGAGGGCATCGAACAGACAGTCCAAGAAATAACCCAATCCTTTGTTAAGCACGTCCTGAGTATCGAGCAAACGGTACCCATGGATGACGTGGAGAAACACAAATCGATGTTATTAGAATGCCGGCGCTATGTAGAAGGAGAGCTCAAAAGAATTGAGAAAGAGATAGATCCCTATAGTCTTGATGACAACGACCCAAAGATTAGGGAAGTAGAGAGGAAGAGAGTGGACGCAAACAAAGACTTGTTTGACACCATTGTTCATCAGCGAAGAACATTCATAGCTGGCCTTGTAGATGAGTGTATAGAGGTAATGGGTCCCCCTCCCTGTAAGTACGCCATGATAGGACTGGGCTCACATGCCACAGGTTTGGTAACGCCATACTCTGATCTGGAGTTTGCCATCTTGATAGAGAAGGAATCAGAAACCAATGTCAAGTATTTTTCCAATCTCACGCATTACCTCCATCTGAAAGTGATCAATCTTGGGGAAACCATTCTCCCGGCCATGGCCATCAAGTCTCTCAATGACTTTGAGTCAGATAACGACCTAGACAGCTGGTTCTACGACTCAGCAACACCACGTGGTTTTTCGTTCGATGGAGCCATGCCACATGCTTGTAAAACTCCTCTAGGCAGAGGTAAAACATGCCTGCTGATCCGCACACCACGTGACATGGCCAAAGTACTAGAAGACGACGTTACACTGCATCTAAAGAAAGGCTACCACCTTGCGACTGTTTTAGGAAATGTCTCCTTAATTACTGGAGAGCAAGGCTTGGCCGATGAATACACCGCTGCACGGGATCAGCAACGTACGGAAACTGGAAGTGAAATTGCTAGGCTAATAGCAAACACTACGTTAAAGGAAAATATTCAAACATTTAAAAAGCAGGAACTGAGTGCCCGACTGCTGGATGTAAAGAAAGACATGTACCGTTTTTCAAGCCTTGCAGTGTCTTCTTGGGCACTACTTCGTGACATACCACTGACAACAATCTGGGAGACTATCCAGAAGATGCACAATAAGGGCGCCATCAATGACGAAAATGCGCATCATTTGATGGTGCTGGTCAGCATCTCAGCAGAACTGAGGCTGCGGACATATATGAACAATCGTGGTCAAGTGGAAAATATGTCAGTGTTATCATCAATGTCTACAAATGATGACATTGAGGAGAAATCAAAGAAAATCTTTTTTTTCTCCAACATAAAACAGCTCATGAGATACTACTACACGGCCACACCGCTAAAGCGCTTTGTTTCGCAAATCAGCAATCGTCAACCATTGGAAGAGCCTTGTATTCTATTTGACAACTCTCCAATACTACAGGCAGGTGTATACGGAAGTCTGTGCGACTATACACACTCAAAGAAATGTATTGAACAGATGCTCCAAAGGGAGCTGTCAAAACATGGGAAGGGCGCGATACACCTTGACATCGCCTCGTCACTTCACAGGTTGGGTATCGCCTGGAGAGACCTTGGTGATCACAGACAAGCCGTCATCTTTCTTGAACAGGCATTGCAGATGAGGCGGAGTATCCATGGTAAGAACGTCACGCATCCTGATATCGCCGGGATACTAAACAACTTGGGCTCTTCCTGGAGTCAACTTGGTGATCACAGAAAGGCCGTCAGCTATGATACCCAGGCACTACAGATGTGGCGGAGTATCTATGGTAAGAGCGTCGCACATCCGGATGTCGCCGGGATACTTAACAACTTGGGTGGCGCATTGAGTGACCTTGGTGATTACAGAAAGGCCGTCAGCTATCATGAGCTGGCACTACAGATGTGGTGGAGTATCTATGGTAAGAGCGTCGCACATCCTGACATTGCCATGTCACTTAACAACTTGGGTAACGTCTGGAGGAACCTTGGTGATTACAGAAAGGCCATCAGCTATCATGAACAGGCACTACAGATGAATCGGAATATCTATGGTAAGAGCGTCGCACATCCTGACATCGCCGTCCCACTTAACAACTTGGGTAACGACTGGAGTGACCTTGAGGATTACAGAAAGGCCGTAGCATATTATGAACAGGCATTACAAATGAAGCAGAGTATTTATGGTAGAAGCAATGCACATCCTTATATGGCCTCGTCACTAAACAACTTGGGTTCCGCCTGGAAAGAACTTGGTGATCACAGAAAGGCCGTCAGCTATTATGAACAGTCACTACAGATTAAGCGGAGTATTTATGGTAAGAGCGTCGCACATTCTTGCATCGCTTTATCACTTAACAACTTGGGTGAAGTCTGGAGGAACCTTGGTGATTACAGAAAGGCCGTCAGCTACCATGAGCAGGCACTAAAGATGGAGCGGAGTATCTATGGTAAGAGCATCGCACATCCTGACATCGCCGGGTCACTTAGTCACTTGGGTAACGCCTGGAATGGCCTAGGTGATCACAGAAGGGCCTTCAGCTGTCATCAAGAGGCACTACAGATGAGGCGGAGTATCTATGGTAAGGGCATCGCACATCCTGATATCGCCAGGTCACTTAACAACTTGGGTAACGCCTGGGGAAATTTAGGTTATTACAGAGAGGCCATTAGCTACTTTGAACGGTCACTACAGATGAGGCGGATTATCTATGGTAAGGGCACTGCTCATACCGAGATTGCCGCGTCACTTAACAAGTTGTGTGTTGCCTGGATGTTGCTTGGTGATCCCAGAAAGGCTGCCCCCTACTACTGTGATCAATTTGTGCGGATGAAGCAGATGATTGATGAGACATATAAACCCTGAAATTGCATCTCTTTGGAAGAACCTTGTGTACAAACATTGTTCAATAGCTTCACAGAAAGCAGTTAATTAAATTAAAATGAGTTCTATAAACAAAGAATCGTGAAGTATGGAGATCATTTCTTGAAAACAGAAACAGTTATGTTACTTGTTTGGTTTAACTTTATCGTCACTTTTTGTTGGTTTCACTGCCGTAGCTGGTGAGCTATCCAAAAATCCATAACAAAACAGGTCAATATGTTGATTGGCCAGAGTAGTATTAATCGACCAGTTAATGTCCTGCTACATGATCATTATTCAATCAAGTCTCTGCATTTATTTCATCGGCTACCAGACGTCGCTCTTACGCATTGAATTGTATTGGAAAAATAGTACTGCTGTGCTAGTATGATCCACTAAGTAACACTATGGACACGCAGCGAAAAGTTGGTGGTTGTAAAATTTATTATTTTGTTCAATTTCGGCTATTGAGTGATTTTTTTACATTGTAGGGCAGAGGAAATATGACGTAATAAAGATTACGTTAACCAGAAAATATATACTTTTTATTTATAGCTTTTATGGCTTCTAATCTATCTAGATGCACAGGGTAGGGTAGCATCGTCTTGAATCATGTTACGACTAAAAATCACCCTGATATGATTTATAATTTGTGTTAACCTTCGTATACGCTTTGGAGTTCTTTATTACTCTTTTACAATGTTTTCCGTACACTAGTCTATATTTTGTAAGTAAAACTACCTTTTCGTATGGAGTCCAAATATGAGGAGATGAACAATTGTGGAAAGGTCTAATGTCATCAATCTTATATCCATAAAATAGCAAGATTCTCTGTATCTGTATCGGTATAGCCGGTATAACCGCCCTTCGGCGTAACACACCAGCTCAAGATTAAGTTAAAATATATTGGGATTAAGTTAGTTTGTCCATTCAACAACGCCTTTCTTTCCAACTCCATTCTTTACAATTGCTCTTTTTTTCCTCCCTTGGACAGAACTAAAGGAAAACACCTTGAATGAAGCAACCATGTAGTAGACAAGGTCACTGAGATTCAATGACATTCTTTTATTTAAAGAGCTCCATGTTTTTAGTGACTGACATTTTTATCATATTATCTCTAACAACAAGTGTGGTATTTCTCATACAGAGTTCACCACAACACTGTCTGTGCCCTAAATGGGTGCTTGACAATTCTGTGTATAGAATGACGTCAAAGGCATGACAAAACATTGAAAGACATGTGTGCGAAGGTGACAGTGACAGTCAAAACGCTGTGCCAAGAAAAACCTTATACCGTTCTGAACCACATGCTCTTTGTATCCATATGCATGCTCGGGCTCGGTTCTGGATAGTCCACGCGTATCCAGAACTATACCTGTGACAAACCTACGTTCTTGGATACACAGAGATTATCCTGAACCGTGTCTGGTCCTAACCCTAACCCATTGGGGCATAGAACTAGATAGGTACGGTTCTGGGTACGATAGGCACTAGTACTATTCAGAACCGTACCTAGACCTAACCGTAACACATGTCGATCAAGCATAGATAGGCACGGTTCTGGATACGACAGGGACTATCTAGAGCTGAGCCTGGTGTTGATCCTAACGCATTCATACTCTCCAAGCAGAGGTTGATGGTGGAAGATCGTTTGCTTTTTATATATGGTCCGTTTTTTTGTCTCTACCGAGACTCTACCGAGACAAAAAAACGGACCATATATAAAAAGCAAACGATCTTCCACCATCAACCTCTGCTTGGAGACTCTACCGAGACAAAAAAAACGGACCATATATAAAAAGCAAACGATCTTCCACCATCAACCTCTGCTTGGAGAGTAACGCATTCAGGCATAGAACATAGAACGGTTGTGGATACGACAGGTAGCACGCCTAGCACAGGTACGGAGTCTGAAGACTGCCGTGACTCAGGTGACCTGTGACACAGGGGAGGACCTTTCAGTGAAGCAGAGTAAATATGTGCGGATTGTTGTGTGCCGACATGCCGGCGTGACTAGTCAAACAGCGCTGAAAAGAACGGACAACAATCCCGTCAGCGATAACTGTGTTAGTCTTCCATGGGAGAACTGTGGAAAAAGGAACGGGCGATGCCAATAGAACACTTCCAGGGGACGACGCATTTCCTTAAACTTATTCAAGTCATTAGTGGCTGATCAATAGTTTGTGGTACACCGATTAAAAGTTGACTACAATGTTTGCAATTCAGTAGAAAAAGTTTCAAGATCTCAGTTTATTGAGAAAGCGACGTTTCATAAAGATACATGAGAGATGCCCCCCTCTGCCGGAAAAGGTACAACGTGCCAAGTGACCTGAACGGGTGGTTACCGCTTGTCATTGCACGCTAGCAACCGCAATGTGTGTGCCGCTCTGTGTTACCGTCAGGCCCGGGGTAGGCAGGCGCAGTATGGGAGATTCAAGTCAGCTTTCATAAAGGCTGGCTCGGTGCTGTGAGTGAACATCGGTGTTCCTGTGACTAAGATAACTAGTATCATATCATCACCACTGCTGCTCGTTACTGAAGGCCATGATGAAGGTAGAGAAATAGAGACTACAACGATACGAAGACACGGAGATAGCAAGGTAAGGATGGACATATATTATCTTATAAAGACCCTTCAGAACGTATTTCAATTTCAACGTAAGAAAATCGTCAACGTTTCTTTGAACTAATTTACCAAATACGACATCACTCTCCGACGCCTTATGTCTAATTGATAAGGCAATATACTAATATACCATTTGGGGGAAAACACACTTCTACACATGTAATTAAACAGGTACCGTTCCCTTTATATGCTATTATCAAGAAATCACGAAAACACATGTTTAATCTCTATACCTACCTTTGTAACCAACTACTGCTCTGATACGGCTGTGAATTATGACTGTGACTCCCCAACAACCACGTGTAGAACGCACCCCAGTGCTCAGATGTGCGGTTACTACTGGTCACTAATTATATAAAAGAGTTCAAAGTCAGAAATCACCTTTGTGCAAACAACGGTACTAAAACACCTTGTTACGAACAAATCATGGGCCTAAACGTATGTGTATGGAAACAGGTTTGATCTATCGTGAAAGTCATGGAAATCTGGCTTTGAGTATGCTTCTAGTGTAAGTCTGAAAGTACTGATAGAACGAAATAGCATTGTCCTGTGTTTAACATTTCGTTCTTTCTATTTGTAAGTCACATAATTTGTACCCGCGTAGCTATTTTTACAGGACTAATTTACAGCATTGTTGCACTGTTACGTTCGCTGAATACGAACAGATTTACAAGTTTGTAGACGCCAATTGCACGAGGAAGCCTTTAACTGTCACGCTAAGAGCCAGGTTTACTTTTTACGCCGGAATCCATGGAGAAACCAGCGACACATGGGAATGAGACACAGCAACAGGAGTTAAGACTGCTATGTTTGCCTCGACGTGTATTCCGTGAGCAGTATACATGTATGTTACAGTGCAAGGCTATGACTCAACTAGTACTGTAGGGAAAGTTTGCCACTGCTTTTAGGCCAACCATATAAATAATTGACTTGAAGGGATAGTTTGAGTTTAAAAAAATCTGGGCAGGCTCTTGATGAAAATTAAATGCGAGATATGGTTCATATAAATAGGTGCGTGAAGAAAGTTGTTAACAAAATACTAGGAGTAACGTGGGAGAAAAAAACTGTAATGGGTGCAGTGTTGCAACTGCCATAAATCATTATAGTTTTAACCCTGTCAGTAAAATGACATTATTTATAGAACTAGAAACGAAAGAATTGTTCTCATTGAAAGTCAATAACATTTTCACCCATGAGAATAATAAGGAGTCAAGCCAAACCTCTTTAAGTGATACATGAAAGTATGAAATCTTCCGTGACATAAGGGTGACCTAATCACCTCATAATCCTTCCTTAATCCTATAATGATCCTTAAATCATTGCTTCTTTACAACGAAGACGTCAAGTAAGACATAAGGTACGGGAAACACCTGGGAAGGTTTGGAGGTGGGACGTGAATTACTCCAACAACGGTGGTGGTCTGGCGTCTACGCTGTAAAAGATACTCAGTATGGGGTAGATACCATAAAAATACCACTAATTTTGAACGTTGTAGTTGCTATATTACAAAATATCTCCGTGGTTGTGCAGTGTGAGATCGGAATAGTAGACCTACTGTATGTTATCTTTGCCAAATTAATTATGGCGGAGCGGTTCTAACATGAGGCTATGAAAGGGGGGCCCACATCAACTGTTGACGTTGACCACTGAGTAAATTATGCAGGGCTTAATTATCTGTTTTCTTTCGTTCTCGCGATCAATTAGTTGACAATCACTGAAACGTTTTCCCCAAAATTGGTCAAGATAATACCACAGCACCCTGAAAGAACACAACACACGAACCATCAATCTTGTGAACTCCTTTTGACGTCAGAAAGTGTCACAGATCACTGCGAAGAAACGGCAGCATTCTAATCGCCAGAAGGGATTTTCCACGCCAGAAGACACAGTAACACGGCAAAATCCGATAAGAGAAAAAGTACTATACCACCAGTCGATCTCCAGGGTAAACATATGGGTACTCGGGCTTCTGTCCTGTCTATAAGATAATCAGTAAACAGTGGTTGGTACCTACTCGTGGAAATAGAGGTAGATAGCATAACGTGGAAACATGTTCTCCGTGTTTTATTCTGCAAGATGTGACGGTACAGTTTTCTGAGTACGTTCGGAAGGGTCTGAGGTAGGTGCTTCGTGATTTACTCTCAATAGTAAAGTTTAACGTTGTTTTGGAAAGATGTTAAATTAACTACGGTAGCTAGCTTTTAATATGCGTGTGAAAAGGGATAGGTATATTGGATGGTTAGGAGCTAGGTTGATTGGTGAGAGACGAGTTGTTAACGGTTAGTTCTGGCCTAAAACTATCGTAACAGGTAGTACTATATAAGCTCGTCGTCGAAAAATTGCCTCTGAAATTTAAATAATGTAGATCGGCAATTTGTCGACGAGCTTGTAAAGTAATACATTTAACAATCGTTTTAGAGCAAAACTAACAATCGTGGTGTTATTTTAGATTAGCAGAATTTAAATGCAACTTGTTAAACTGTATGATGAAAAATAACTTAGTTAACGACTTAAAATTGCAGGATCAAGTACTAAGCACGGTACTTTCTCCTGGATGATCATATTGAAGCGAAATGGATTTGGAAAGAAACTGGTCAATACAACTAAAAAGACCAGACGAGTCGACAACGCTAATTGAAAGCTAAAACAAACCTAGAAGGCTGCAGTCACCCAGAGAAGTACACACATTAACGATTCACTTCGTGGTAATCTTTTGTTCAAAGTGTGTTCAGTGACAATTACCCAATTGAGATCCATTGTTCCTCTCGGAAATCTCATTCCACCGATGGGGCTCTTAGTCTTGTTACTGTTGGCTCACAAACACACCATTCGCATCCACCCAATTAAGTGCTATGTTTACACAAGTGACGATGCCGGTGTGAGTTTTTCGTTAGGCGAACATCTTTAAGTGATATTTAGATAGACGTATGTGATAGAGAGTCCAAATCTACTAGAAGAAACTAGAAATACATTCTACATGAAACAGACTATATATATTATAAGCTCTGCCAAAGTTGTTACTGCTGTTACATGTACCTTCATGACTGTACAATTAGGCTAATTGGCTGCAATTTATGTGTTGATAGTCTTGGTTTGGACTTAAATCAACGTGACATATCTATTGTTGGCTCCCAAACATAACATAACCCCCTATTATAAGAACCGAAGCATGTTGTAGGCCTTACCTCCACCGCCCTGACAACTACACCACAACTACTAAATCAGGTACTAGTAATCAAATTATATTCTCAAAAGCCGTGAACCCCTTACCCTGTCAGGACATTTACGCAAAGCTAGAACACAAAGTAATCAAAACCTCTCTGGAACAACTTTCAGGCAGCCAAATAGTCAATTAATGCAACCTCAACGCTGCCGTCATTCCACCTTGCTACGTTGCTAGGAGCGCCGGACATTTCCTAATATTTGCTCCCCTTTTGTCTTTCTCGTTCTTGATTTGTATTTCATGACGCCGTAGGGTGGACCTTTGACAAGTGCAACCGTAAATCACCTACAAAAACTAATAAGCGGTTGGAGAACCCTGATTAGAAAACACAACAGCGGCCAATATTGTACTCCTGAAGGACTTTATAAGTCGCCGTTCCAACATAGTGGCTTCGTCAAGGCTATTACTTCTTTCGTATACAGGAATTCCAAACTCACTTTAGGGGATTATGACGACAGAAGAATCTTAATTCACACGTCGATTTCTGTGGGTTCAGTCGGCTCCTTGCTTGGATACACTTCAAATATTTGTCCAAGCCGACACTTGGGGTACAAAGCTTCCCCATTCAGGCCCCGGCGCGGGTTTTGTCTGCCTCTTAGAAAGGGCCATTCAAATAGCGACTATTGCGGGAGGGGTCAGGGATAGGAGTTCTGTGTGGGATACATAGTAACAACGGACAAACTGTATGTGAAGGTGTGTATGGCAAGGGAATGGCGAAACCGGTTCTGTAAATGACGACAAACATTGTGGTTTTACTCTACAAACTTCGCCAGTTATGCTCGACAAAATGATGTTACTACTATGAAGGTATGTTCGTACTTTGTTCGATATTTTCAACTCTGAATTGTTCATATAGACTTTACCACTTTTATTCTTTACTGTCAAAGCGTGTCGTCAGTCTTGTGTGTAATTTTAGTAGTAATCTAGGTTCTTCCGTGTGTTTAATGAGAAAGCAAAATGAAATACTAAAACGTATATCTCATTGTGTGCGGTTATCAAGAAAGGAATATGACATTGGAATTGGCACAACGACACTACATATTATTAAGCACCTTAGCAGCACTCGACAACAATGTTGAACACTCCTTGAGTATGTGCTAGCTGGAGACTTGAGAGTCTGTACAAGTGAAGCACATCGCCTTGAGAAATGGTGCATATACGGAACACGTGTAGGTGTTTACTGACACACTATGTCTCTATGGGTGGGTTTTCATGTGAGAAAAGACTTACAACAACAACAACAACTTTTACCGGAGAGGGGAGTCAGTCAAACGATAGTCATATACATCCAAGAGCGTGGATTTGCCCCAAGCACGGTTCTGGATAGGCTTGGGGTTCTGGATGATGTGCATGGTTCTGGATACATCAGCGTGCATGTACGTCTACCAGTGACAAAACTAATATGATTAAGTTTTCGCTGCCAAATTCCCCATGACAGGCCATACTGTACCAGACTACAGTGTTGCGGTCGTAATAACGTTTTACAGTCTTTTATCCTGGATCAACCTGTTCTGTAAATTTGCCTTTTTTCTCCCCATGTTACCGACACCCCGTGTGGTGCATCCTTCAGTGATCCTTATTTGCACAGGTTGACCCCTTACAACCGCCCCTAGATTGTTCAGGAACATGTTGGGTGCATGTCCTAACACTCAGGTGACACGTAACATCACTTCAGAGATAAGGCCTTTTACATTCATTTCGTCCACTTTGTTTATTTGTTTATTAGACCGATCTCCATTAGTTTGTACAGTTGCCATACATACTATTCTTCCTGGAGTCGTTAACTACAAAATACTTTGTATAGGCGGGGTGCAAGGCGAAAACTTACAAAGATGAAGAATCTTATTGCTGTTTTAGGTTCCTTAAGAAAAAAAGTACGACAAATCTGTACAGTCACGTATTAGGTCGCCGTATGATTTTGATGCCGTACAATTTTCAGACAGGATGTGACAGAAACAACCACCGACAAGGATCTGAGACAGTTTTTTCTTAACAAGATAACTCAATTTTGCAGGCCACATGCACGGTTATCCCCAGAGTGTCCTCGTGTTGTGGCCATACATGCACAACGATCGTACGACGTATTTAACCGGGCCCTTAGATAAAAGAAGTGTCGAGCGGATACGGTCCCACAGAATCTCCATATCTTTCAGTCCGTCCAGGCCGTATCAACATCATCCAGCATAGAACAATTAATTTTGACAAGAGTATACACAGGAAGAAATATGGTGACCTTAAGGAGGAGGTCACATTACATACTCAAGTGAAGCCCATTTACTAAAACAACACTTGATACGGTCTACACAAACGTGTTTACAATCAATTACATTTCTGCTTGAAGAGGATTACAAGGGGTGGTATAAATCATTGGGAAAAAAGTAAACTCCAAGCAGATTCCCCTGGGGGCAAGACAGTATCAAATAGGCCGGGCAGTTACCATTAGCCGCATTAATGGTAACTGAAGATTAGGAAAAAAGTTGAGGGTACACCATGTCGTTGTGTATGTAGTTTGAGATGATAAATAAATATAAACGATACCAAAAACACAGGAAGGATTCGTTATGCAATAATCATGTATTATAACATGTCTGACTAAATTTTATTTATTCCGGGACAACATTTCAGACCATTTGTAGACTGGCGAGTGTTCATTTTCTAATTAACAGTAGGTTTGATGAATGAGTGTTTAAACAAAATTAATGCGGTACACTTTTACCTTTATATATGATAATTTCTCATGACAAGGTTGCTACGTATACTGACCTGAAAAAATAACTTATATATTATAGACTGGTTTGTTGGAAAAGAAGATGAAATGCGTTTCATTAGAACTCGGTGGCAAGAAGTTGAAAAACGACGAGGCATACAGGATCTACAGCACAACTCTACCAAACGCAGATTTGTCAAATGGCGCACATTGAGGGTGTATTTCCAGACAGACAAAAACCATAAGACCCTTTTTAAGGACCTGATTCCGGTCCTATTGTTTGAGAGTACATACTTGACGGCCCATTGCCAGTTGACGTAGGAGCCACACAGAACTCATAAATTTTTCAACAAATTTCAACAAAGGTGTGACATTTACTTTCGCGAAAAAAGTGGGTCATCCCCGTTTTTCTTTGTGTCTTAACGTGGATTGTGGTGCTTATTTCCCATGCAGGTATGGCGTCACTCGGCAAGAGGACATTGACATGGGGGGCAGACACAACTGAAGAGAACAGCAGCTACAACTAGTCTGAGAAGCACAATGCAAGCAACATACATCACTTAAGTCCTTGCCGCAACATTGCAGACAATCTAACTCTGACAAAAAGGGAAAATTTATCGACTCAAGATGGCCAAGAAGTCAACGCAACTGGACAAGACCATCTGCAAGTTCAACAGCATCTACGCAGAGAGGAGACTCAAGAAGCAGATAGATCTGATCGAGAAGGACCGCAAGCAAGTCCTTCTGAAGATCGAGCGGGAACAGATTCATCTCAAGAAGGAGCTGAAGGACCAGCGGCGACAGAAGATGTCGAGGGTCTTCCCCGATCCGCCTGATGGAGTAGAGGACGAGGAATCCTCGGGTAGGAAGAAGAAAACGAAGCACAAATCGAAGAGAAAAGTGACGATAGGAGAGGACGTCCACGAGATTGACAGCGAGGATCTGCATGGGGTTTTAAACGGCAACGGATTGCTAACCGCCCCTGGGATAAACAGGGGAACTCGGAGAAACTTAAACAACGATTCTGACGACGAATCGAGCCAAGATGGAGACGATTCGGATGAAGAGGTGGGAAAATCTCATTCGAGGATCAGGTTTGTCAACATCCCAACGGCGACTACAGAAAGCGCGAACGGATCAGAGATAGACAGCCCGTACACGTCGAGTGGGTACGGCAACTGGGCGGACCGAGTGTCTCATCTGAACCGCTCCAACAGTGTGCAGCTACCGGCCGCGCCCAGACACACACCGTTCTCGGGACGCCCGACAACATCCTCGGGGGCAGTCAGTACGGGACCCACGAGAAGCACCAGTAATCTAACGTCCAGAAGTTTACAAACTCCGCTGGGTAGATCTACACCCGTTGGGACTAGGGGAGCTGCTGCTGGCAACAGGCGACCGGTTACGGCGGGTAATGGACCACTCTACGGGAAGTAAGTCCAGCTTTCTTATATTTTCTATATCCAGATTCGGTATCTATACACATACAATTAAAGCATAACAAGAGCTGTTGATGTTTAATACCTGAAAATACAGACAGATGTAGTGAAAAAACGCATATATATCTGGACCCATATAACTAGCCATATACCGAAAGTCAACATAAATGAAATCCGTCAAACACTCCGTGATGAGTTATAGCTGCAAACACGATCGAAAACAGTACCTTCCCGCGGACAGATATCTCCTTAGCAGGTAATAAACGAGAGGTACGTTTGTTCATACTCAGTATGTTTACATAGTAAAACGTTAAACTTTATTCCAACACACTATTTACAGGGATCAAATTTTCAGCGACCACTGTCGCCTTCATCAGGATAATTAATGACCAATCACTTCACAACGTGATCTCGCGAGAGTTACGGTTTACAAACACGTGACCTTATTCACACGAGACTTTACTGATACGTGACGTAAGCAATTGATCAAAAGTGCTAGGGAGTTAATATCGTCCACCATCTCTATTAAGTGATTGGTCATTAATTATCCTGATGAAGGCGACAGTGGTCGCTGAAAATTTGATCCCTGTAAATAGTGTGTTGGAATAAAGTTTAACGTTTTACTATGATTACTACCAACACAGATGAACTTTCATGATAATCAGTATGTTTACGTTTATATCACAAGGCAAAATGCGTACAAATAATAAACACAACTAATATTAACCTTGTTTTTCCCAGCTCAAAGCCACCGCGATATTCCATCATCAAGAAACAGGTTGAAGAGGAAGAGCACGAAACCGTGATGCGCATGCGTAAAATCTACCAGCAGAGAGAGAACGAAGAGGTGGACAACAAGGTTGGTCTGAAATTTTCATATTTCTGGTCCGAAGAAAGATTCAAGAATATGCAGAAATGCTTACCACCACCAGGGGGCACTATAGAGTAAATCAAAACTCGTTACCATGGTGACAGACGTCTGGCCCAGATCATTGACCTTATGTGTTTGGAGAAGAGGAAACTGAGCAAAAACAATATAGCCTGGTTACCGCAAATTTACCGGACTTGGGAGCTATGAATATAATTGGTAACCAGGCCAGGAAGTTCCCTTCGATAAACATAATAAACGCATACTAAAACTCAGATCCAATTTTGTGCCGTGCAGGTTCTGTGTTTCCTGGGTAAGCAGGCGCGGAAGGTGAGCATGCCGCCCATCACCACGGCTGAGGAGGCTGAGATCCTGGACAAGATCGGGTCGCTGGTGCGGGCGGTGGACAGGCGGAGGAAGATGAGCGCCATGCCCAGCGTGGGGGAGGAATCTGACAACAGCAGGAAGACGTCCACGACAAGCAACAAGAGCTGATAGATGTAATTACCTTACGCGAAGCCCCTGTCACACCAAACGTTAACTTTGACACTCAGACGCCCCATCCCTGTGCTGTGCAGGAGTTCTTCGTAACGTTACATAACGTCAGTATAGTAAGATGGGCGCTATGCCCACCGTTCGAAGACATCAGGATGACGTCCACAACAAGCAACAAGAGCTGATAGATCTAAATTTGCCTGGGTGCCAAACTGTTGCCAGGGGCAGTAGCCGAAAATTTTCCATAGATAACATTGCAACAGCTCAGATAGAAAAGAGACAAATTAGATACCCACAGGTGCTCTGGGATCGGGGCTTGTGACTTCCCCCAGCCGAAAGGTGTATCGTGTCGAGCAGTGGTCTGGCATGCAGTCTACTGGTAGATGGAACTCACATGTACGTACTAAAGGAATTTAAACTGACTGAGAAGTTTCAAGCCCAGAAGTTTTCAGATGACACCCGCCATCTTTCTTCAGCTTTCAAAGAAGGTAGTCACGTGGCCAGAGGCTAAAAGTTCAACACAGTCCATGTGATTGGACGAGAGTGTGTGTATCATAAACTTTTTCGACGGTCGAAAAGTACGGAGCATCAAACTCAATCATGAGGCAAAATCTTCCACGCGAATATAGGAAAAGACTGTGCCAAAAATTGCAATAAACCTCTGAGAGACATAACTTCTTCAGGTTTTCAAGAGTATACGTTTCAAAGAGGACAAACGTGTTATTTATCTGAAATGTTTCATAGAGTATAATGTATGTGATACCCGTTTCAGGGTATGCTTTGAAACTGTGTGTTTGAACCTTCATATCGATATAAAGAAACCTTGTGGAAATATTCTAATGGTATATATTTGCGTTTATCCGTCCACTGTACCAAGTTGAACACAACATATCCAATGTTTTCTCTTTGCAGTTTTTTTTATAAAACTTAAATATAACTTACATTATTAACAGTGACAGGCTAAAAATGCTAAGAAGTGTTTGACTTCATGTTGAATATTTCAACATGTTAATTAACCTAGATATTGAGTGCTGCTAATAAATAAACGTTATGTAATCTGAAAAAAAACTTTCCAAGAATGCAGTGATGTTCCATGTAGTGTTTGTATCTAAGATACCGATATGTTATCATTTGTATCTGTGTGCATACTTCTAACCGAATGTCCAGAAGACAATAAAATGAATGTGAGATTCTTCGACCTATCCATTGTAGAATTTTTCTTTTATTGAGTCATATCAATCATTAGTTTTCAGACTTTCTTTAGACACAGAATAAAGATAGATACATGTACTATAAAAACCTATATGACTTTGGAAAAAAGAAAATTAACTTACACAATACTATTAGCACATACCTCAATGGGCAAGGTCCACTGGTATAATTTGATCTTAAGAGGGAAAAAAAGAACTATTGTATCATGATACCTGGTTGCATAATACTCATGGCTTGCTGACTTACATACAATGTATACTTAGTATATCTGAAATACCCTTTCCAATTGGAATGAGAAGTCTTTGCTTTCATCAGATTCTGTACAGCAAGTACATTTCTTGGACATCCTCCCATGGCAGGGGCAGCGGCTCCGAATTCCTTCTCCACCCCTTACAGGAATTCGAAGCCGCTGCCCCTGCCATGGGAGGATGTTCTTGGACCCCTATTGTAGAGAGTCAAAAGCACTGAAGTTTTACATAGATGTGGTTTTCACAGGCTACATTGATTCTACTGAACATGGAAGCAATAAATTTCCCAAATGAAAAGTTCAAAGTTTCCCCAGTGCAGCATAAAGTGTACATTAACTTGACCATCTGTACAGATAGGTGAGGTATATCAAACAGCTAACATTCTCAAGCTTTAGTTGATTATATTGGATTGCTTTTCAAGTTTTTAGTGAGTGGTACATTATTGCATGAAGTACATCTTTTTTTGCTGTACAAATATTTCTCAATGTTCTGTTTAAGTTTACACCTCCCTGCAGACTTCAACTACATGTACATGTATAGCTGACACACATTTGGTCAGTGAAAGTCAATCATAAGTTAGCCCACATTGATATACATTATGTATAAATATCCACATAACCATCCATTGCAATTGTGATGCATTCTAATCATTACATCTTATTCAAATATGGCTACATAAAAGATTGAAGAATACAACACAGTGTTCACAGTCTTCTGTCAAGTTAAGTCTACTTTTAATTCATAAATTGAAAAGAAGAAAAAATACAAGTTAATCTCAAGACTCCAGCCCCACCTAAATATTCTGAAGATTGGTTCTGTTTCAGTATTTTTCCCGTTACTAGTTTTGTAGAGCAAATGCTTTACATGTATGTTTCAACTAAGCTTGTGAGCTACGTCAAATATCATTCAGTCTCTTTTGGAAATACAATGTAAGGCCACACCAATTTAATTTGTTGGTTCTCGGATTCGCCTCTTCATTTTTTCCTGATTTGCAAAAAAAAAAAAAAAAAAAAATTCAGAATCAACTGAACAGTTGAAAACAGTCCTTTTCTTCCTAGTCGCTAGTTATTCCATCTTTCAATGCAGTGGTATCATTAGAAGTTCAAAATTCATTGTTTAAATTTTGAACCAGTGTTTTGTGTTGACTTCATACCTCCTATCGTAGCATTTGGGGCTATAATAGGATGCCTAGATCTGTTTTTATTTTTATTTTTTTTTCGCCCTGTCGCTTCATATTTTTCCTGAAAAAATCCGAGAACCAACAAATTAAATTGGTGTGGCCTAATCTCGTGAAAAGTATGGAAAGAGAATGTAACTTTAAAAGTATTGTTTCACAGAGAATTAAGGTAACTTTGCAGTCTTCATGACAAGATCCTCTCGTAGAACAGCAGAAAAGCTTGTGCATTCAGGACTTTAGACTCCGACACCTCGCTAACATGAGTGTCGCTGATGTGGTACCATTTCCCCTCCGGGACTGGAGGCAAGGGGGCAGAGTCTCCTCCCTTCCAGTCAACCTCATCATCCGATTCCTCCAATGAGATGTCTCCATTCACCAGGTTACCATGGTGACCAGCTGCCCCCACCTTGTTCCTGGGCGTCCCCTTCCCATAGTTCCAAGAGTTGGGCTTGTTGAGGACCTGTGTTCGCAGCTTGTCCGAAGCCTGTCTGACTTTGACGTAGGCGGTGTAGTGGCCGGCACGCAGACTGCCGCTGTGCTCGACGATGCCGTATAGCGTGTAGAGGATCCTGTTGTAGTTGTCTGCTATAGGCTAAAAGTAGAAGGTACAGTTACTTATTTTGTTGGTGTTATAAAAAAATAGACTGTTACAGATTTTGTGTTATGAAACAGCAACTATGTGGCACATTAAAACCCAGGATTTACACTTTCCTGATAGAGGCACTGTCGCATATTTTGCACTATTTTTATGTGGTCTAATTTCCAAGCAAACTACATTTATAAAAGAATCAAATACACAAAAAGGTCTAAGACAGCCATTGTCCTAACAAGACAGCTGAATGGTGTATGACACATGCACGGTTGTCTCAAGAATGCCCTCAGTTTGTAATTAAATATAGTTCTTACGACAGTTGTGCTCCATGTATGTGTGACCAGGACCTAAACTACACTTCCAGACTAACCTTGCATGTGCTGGTACAGAAAGGAGCCAGGTCCAACATCAGGGGGAAGTTCACATGTCTGTTCACCTTCCTAAGGCTAAAACCAGCCTAGGGAGTAAGAAAATTATGTTGGGATAAGTAACACACAGGTGCAATGATCAAAATCCTTTGAATTCATTTCATTTCACACATTCCACAGACTTCTACTCCTGTAAGACTTTCTCAAGGAAAATCACAGATAATATAGTCTTTTCATTTTCAATACCTACAATGTACATTATTTCAAACATTATTCTTCCAACAACACCCTATACACTTCCTTTTCTACACATCTTTCCTCTCCATGTTGTTATTTTGTTTTCTGACCTGCTGGAATCTCTTGAGATGCAGAGTGAGGACATCAGGTGGCCAGGACACCAGCATCTGTTTACTGGCGTTGCAGTACACCGTGTCATCTTTGTCTTTCTCCCTCTCTGAACAAAAGGTACAGAAAATGTTGCAATTATAAACAGCTTAGGGCTCCAATTTGCAGATAGAGTGAATGAGTGAAGGTTTCATAGAGAGAGAACAAAAGAGTAATAAATCCAATGGTTTGATAAGCAAAAATACTAAAACAAAACAAAGGGTTCAAAACTAAATCCAAGACCTTCAGCATACTGTTTGGAAAATGATCTCCATTAAATGTAACCAGGTTAATAATAGCTAACAGATTTATTTCTTACAAATGAAGTACAAGAAGTGCAGCAAAAGGTTGTGAAACTTAAAACATTTCACTGATTTGACAGACTGTCTGATACAGTAGTCATAGTTTGATTTCAAATATGTAGATCAGACATTTCTCAACTTTGTCATGCCAATGACAAACTTCTGTCCTACATATGCATGTACCTACCAGTTTTGCCCGACTCTTTCCTCTTCCTCCTGGTACAGAACTCGCAGCCAAACTTGTTGCTGCCCGTCAGCAGCTCCGGTGCTGTGAACTGGTGCAGACAGAACTGGATGGAACACTCCTGGGAACTACCCAAGTACCTGGGAGCCAGGGTGGACGGTGGTTTGGTGTTCCCTACAATCTCATCACCCACTCGTGACTCAGAATTACTTCTCCCTCTACCACCTACAGCCCCTTCTTCAGAGATCTCCTCAAAGGAGTATTGAACCTTTGACTTGAGACATTCGTTTCTCTCGTCTTTGACTGTCTTGGTGACTTTTTTGGGGCTGCCTTGGGTAAGGGTTATGGATGGAAAACTGCCGTTTTTCCCCTCTTGGGAGACGATTGTTGTGGTGGTTTTTTCTTCAGCTTCTTCGACTTCCTTGTTGTCCTGGACGTCTTCTCCTTGAGGAATGATCTTGGGGTTTTCGTCTTCGGGCACGTCTTGGGTTTTAATGTCCTGAGTATCGTTACCACTCCCCTTATCAATGTCGTCCTGAGTTCTATCGGGGCTTTGTGTAGGGGAGGTGGCATCTGATTCGGTGCCTGACATTCGCAGGTGGTCAATGCGAGAGCAGAGCTCACTTTCAGTAGAGTTGACATCTTCAGTAACACTCTTAGCTTTACAACTAGCTTCACTAGATGTCTGTTCACTTTGTGTTTTTGAGCTCGTCTTTTCTTTAGAGCTACCTTCTAAAGAAGTTGGTCTGTCTGGACCTTGGGGTTTACTCTTGTCAGATTTTACAGCATAGTTGTGTTCTGCTTCTATTCCCATTGCTTCCAGTTTCTTCGTAACCTCTTTCACATCCTTTTCCTCTATGGCGTCGCCACTTTCCTCTGTAGGTGGAGGGTTGACGGCTGGAGCACTTTCCTGCGAGGGGCTATGTTTGGGGGTTGTGGGTTTGCTGCTTGGTTTCGTGATGGCTTCTGAATCTGAGCATTCATCTGCATCTTCCATGGATGAGGAGGGGTTCTCTCCTTTCTCCTGAGAAGTGTCACTTTCTGCAATTTAAATAAGTATAAAATTAGTTGAGTGTAAGTTACATGTATGACAGAATTTTTCCTACTTCTGAGATGGCAATAATGCTTTGGGTGATGCTGGTTTGTACATGCATGTATCTTGTTTTCAGCAGTGAGGATTGAAATTAAGTGGGCAGAGATTGAGTTTGCTGATTGACAGGGTTGGGACCTGGTATGCCTTGGGTGTTGTATGGGGTTGCCAGGAATGTGTACAGTACATGGGTACTTCAAAGACTGTACAATACAAATGCAAATACTAGATAGACATTCCCACAGTATCATTGGCTGAACTGCTAATTGTGATGGAGAGTCAGGACCAGTCCTTACCCTCTGCTGCTACCTTCTGCTGTTGTGCCTCAGTCTTAGCCTCAGTTTCCTCCTGCCCATCATCACCAGCTGGATCAGCTGTAGGGGATGTTACTTCTGAGGCTGGGGGTGTCTTCCCTTTCTTCTGGGCCTTCTAGGTAGTATGACATGAGCAACAACAAGGATTTACACAGAAACTTGTGAGACTTATGTCATTTCACCTTAGTGACGGAAAAATTGTTTTGGGTGGTGCGGGTTTAGTGGAAGTAATTGAAGGTTTGGTTTCAGAAGTGAGTGGCTGGAGATGGTGTAATAGGAGAGTAATTATAAGTTTCGTCATAAAATCACACAAGTAACTATATGCATTATAGTGAAATTAATTACACAATTAATTAACTACATTCCTGAAGTTTGAAATCTCTTGTTTACAATGTGTAAATGGGCCATGAAAATGAAATGGTTTAGCTGTATTATTGTTTTCATATTTTTTAAGAAGATGGAACAAGCTTGAATCATGAGCCTAAAGTGTACCTTTGCTTCCCTCCTGGCTTGTTTCTTGGCCTTCTTTAGCTGGTGTTTACTGGGAGACTGGTCGTCCCTCTGTGCTAACTCATTCATGGCCATGTGGGCTGCCTCCCCCGTCTCACTGTCCAGGTTGGTACGGCCCTTCGCTCCCTTCCCTTTCTGCTTATTGGCAGAAGGATTGCTACTAGATCTGGAGGGTGGCGACTACAGATGGGAGAAGTTTTTTTAGAAAATTTATTGGTTTGATGTATCGTGAAAAACTGTCAATTCCACATGCAAGATGTCTGCTATAAAAATGAAGACTAGAATTTTGGTGAAACGTTGGTATGATATATACAAGAATGTTGGTGAAACTTGGTATGAGATCATCACTTACCCTTTCCTCCACAATAGGTAGAGAGATGTCCAGAAATGGCTCATGGACTTGAGATATCTGAAAAGAAAGTACGGATCAACAATGAAAACTTAATACATGTGAACTTATGTTTGTACATTCATCTTTAAGCATAAATTTGGGACACCTAGTATCAGTGCACAGTGAACCAGTCATAATTACACATACCCTGATGAAGATGACAGAGGTCATCAAAATGATGGGTCTTGTTAAACCATTGCTTATGATGAAGAATTTGCTATTCAATCTCTCACCAACCTGATGAAATTATTCATGGAGGAAGACAACTGTACTTACATTTTTACACTCCTCACACTGCACAGTATTGACCATCTGCCCACCGAACACAAAGTCTACAAAGGTTTCCCTCACAAGCCGACCATACTCTGCAGGAAGAAAAGATACAATGAGAAACTTACCAACCTCTATCAGGTTAGCAGTTTGTATGCATAAGTAATACTAATAATGTTTTTAACATACAGCCTTTCATCATCATGGTATTTTTCACTGACCTTTGACTCTTCCTTTGACATCATCATCAACAGTTTTAGGGTTGGTCGATTCAGACAACCCAAACTTCCTCAGGATGCCAGACTTCACTCTCTGGAAGAAAAAAAAGCAAATACAATGTACATGTATGATGAACACTGTCTTAAGTTTGTAACATTTGGTGCAGAAACAATGCTCAAAATCCTTCTTTCTGCATACTTGCACTGCTACATGTAACATTCAAAATTACCTGACAAATTTTACCCTCTAAGTATGTCTATGTGTGCAATTTTTCTACAGTTGTTTACCTTGAGTTCCTCTAGCCTGAGTCCATCCAGTAGATACCTGAGCAGTTCATGGCTGTCCTGCTGCTGGAACCCTTTAAACCGGGGAGACCTGAAAAATAAAAACAAAAACTCTGCAGTCAACTGTCTAATAACATAGGTAGCTTTCAATGTACACATATCTTATAGTGCTTCTAACTCAATGCAAAACATACAAATGATATACATGACCACACTCTATTGTCAAAATAGTTTCCTTTAAAAATGTTCAAATGTAAGTTTCAAAACAGTCAGCATGTGAGAGCCTTTGATACTTGTGCAGAAGCAAACCCCAATATATCAAGACTGTACAAAGTGTTTACTAAAGAAAGAGTACCATGAGTTCAAATCAATTCAGCAGTGAACTAAATGTACATGTATACTAGAACTATAATGACCAGTCTGGCTTTTAGCATTCAAAACATAAGACTACAGTAATGTAAACTTACTTCTGGCAAACCTGTCCAAAGAGGTGTTTAGGGTTGAGGGAGGCCTTCCCAGTGGGAGCAGTCATCTCACGGAGGAAGGACAGGAGAGCACTCTGTAGAGCACTGGGCGGGACAGACAACATCACTTCTAGAGGTTCCTAGAAAAAAAAAGGTAAAAATACATGTAGAGGACCTGGGAAAGAAGTCATCAATTTTTTATTCTCCTTGCTGCTTTGAAATTTTTTTTTATACTTCAATTATCTACAAGATACCAGGCTACCTCAAGTTAGGAGTGTGCAATGTATTTTTTCTATGGGGTTTTCTTCAATTGTAGGTACTTGTAGATCCTGTCCTAAGAAAGATGTGAGATGACTTTGTAATTTCCTTCTGTAGCTTTCTTTCAAAATGCAGATTACAGTATACAGATGCCTTGGGGAAACCATCATGACTCATTCAGATTTGATGTCTAGTAAACTTGAATGTGTCTCACCAGCTGTAGTGGGAGGTCGTTAGCTGTTGGAGGGTAGAGAGTCATGGAGCCTCCCTTAGTGGACCACATCAGGGCAGCCTCCAACACATGGGTCTGACTCAGGTTCTGTGAAAACAGTACAGATTAAAAAATCCCATCTACTGTGTTCCCCTTGCAGCTTCCTTCCAAACTACAGGTTACAAGCACAGACTCAGAGGAAGAATGTACAAAACGTATGATGCCTTGGAATGGTGCTTGTTTTAGTTACAGCTACACATTTTACGACCGTGCAACAGAAGGATGGTACTGATGGAAGATGCACATATCTTACCTGCATGACTGCATTGAAGAAACAGGTGTTTCCAAGGTTGTTTAGGCCCTGAAGGAAGAGAAAGAGAGAGAAAAGAACACTTATTAGCTAAGAGTCTAAGACTGTATCCTTCAAGTAACGTTACATGATTTTGTATTAGAATGTCCTACACCTTTCACAACATGAGCTCAGTAAAACTCAAAACATCCACCTGATTCTATCTTAACCTTGAGCCTGCTAAGGTTGCCACTTGTCACCATGCATATTGGTTATGGAATTAGGCAACAGGAAGAACATTAAATCAACTGATCTCATCCCACTGCTGGTACTACATGTACCTGTACATTGAAACACTGCAGGTTTTTAAAAGGTGATGTCAAGAATTAATACACGTTACCTTGACTCTAGCTAGTGGAGACTTAGCAGAGTTGAGGTTCTGTTTATCTGTCCCTTTCCCTGCCGCGGCGCCGGCATCGACTGTCTCCTCTCTGGGACTGGTTTGCTGAGGACTCTTCTTACCTGGAGAAGTATAACATAGGGAGATTAGAATCACAACATTCATAGCTAGGGCTTGAACTACTTCTATCTGCATACTTGAACTGGTGCATTTGTCTGGCACAGGTAATTTTCAATTTTGTACCATTCAGAATTTAGGAAGTCTATCATACTAAAAACTGTTCAGAAACCATTGCCATTATTTCTTTTATACAATACTTGGTGACAGTCAATGCAGCAAATAAAAACCCACATACGCCAACACAAACCCAGTACATGGACCAGTGCAGGTTTGTTGCAGATAGACATCAGAAATACATATGTACCTGCATAGCTCCAATTTTACCTACACTAACCTGCATATGCAGGTGGGTTTTTGAGCCCAATATCTAGATATCAACTCCATAGCTTACTTGCTTAAGACTAAGAAAGTTATTCATGAACTTAACAGGTAGGTAGACATAGTCATTATCTCATGTAACCTACCTGTGGAATCATTAGGTCTGTGGACGCCATAATGTCTGCGAACAAAGTCTACGCACAAGGCGAGCTTCTTCCCACGGTCAAAGGCAACATCGTTGTCACACTCATAACACCTGGAAACAAAGACACATACATTGTACATAGGGAACTTGAACATTGTGTGTTCAATGTTCATCCTATCAGATTATCAGTAACAGATTGAAAATATAACGCTAAGTGGCTCAAGTGTTTTTATTCATCAAATTCTGCTTTCATGGAACATGGTGCTTGTAACATCGGTGAAAGTTAGACATCCAGGTAATAAGATACACCAACAAAACAGTTACTCAAGCAACCAAAATCATTTCTAGTTGCTTGAGTAACTGTTTTTTGGCGTATGGTACTTGTAAGTTCCTTCTTTCTCCATCAAACTCAACAAATTGGACGTTTGTTGTGAAACAAACCAAAACGTAAAACTGTCCCCTTACCACACCATCCATGTAGTAGTGTTGACCACGACAGAATGGCAGCCTGAGCGAGGGGTCTCGTAGTGCTTCAGAGCGTGCTGACTCCTGCTGTTCCTGCCACAACCCTGCAGGAAAGGGCAAGGTTTACTACAATTGTTTCTAGCTGCTTTTTATCAAGCCTAAGAAAAACATGTTAAGTCTCTTGACTGACCCTATAGCTAGCCTTTTTTTGGTTGACTGCTGACAAGACTATCTGATTTGCTATTTGACATCTGAATTTCAAACCCCCTAGAACCTTTTTTTTTTACCGGTACATGTATTTTCAAATGCAAATTTTCACTGAGTAAATAGGGTGAAATATTTGTCTCTACCCCACTGGACAAACCGGTGCAATAGCTCAATTGGTAGAGTGCTCGCTTTGTAACCGGGAGGTTGTGAGTTCAAACCCCGGCCGGGTCATACCAAAGACTTTAAAAATGGTACACACTTCTTTCTCTGCTTAGCACTCAGCACATATGAGAAAAAGTGTGGGGAGGTCAAACACAGCACTACCAGCGGACCAGCCCCCTGCTGTAGTGCCCTGCACAACTGTGTGTCGCCCAAGGGCTACAGAAATGGATATGGACACCACCCTACGCTCTGCATAAGAAGCATGGGAGACCTTTCCTTTCCTTTTTCCACTGGACAAAGATGGGTTCTGGGGACTGCCCTGGTCTCAGCCTTACAGTTTTAGATTGTTACAATGCTAGACATGTATTTGTTGGAACAGTTCATAATCAGCAAAGAGAATGGCTACCTACTGCCCCTAATGTTTTTAACTTATATCTGACCTGATGTCCACACTGTAGGCAGAGCCAGAGTGTTGCCTCTAACTCCTCGTCCAGACAGGTGTCTGCCGCGGGCTCAGTCCTGCCTCGTGCGCCCGAAGCTCCCTCTTTGGAACATCCCACGCACTCCAGGTGGGGGGAACCCTTCTGTAGGGCTTTCTTCACCTGGGCCTGGTTCACTCCTTTGTTGATGTGGGGGCATTGCACACCTGGTGGAACATCAAGGAGCATAAAAATCAAGGTTAGTCATTATGTGTACGTCTAAAACAAGAAATATGAGATTTTAGGCTTCTGCAAAGTGTTTCAAGTTTTACACATTCCTGGCAATTTCATACCGCATTGTACGACCCAGGGCATATACTGGGTCACAACCCTTCCAATCGATTGAAATGCAATAATTGGTCTCTGACCACTTACTTTTCAATCCTCCCTACTCAAGCCAAAATGCATATAAACCCGTATGTTATGTGAATGTGATTCCTCAGCCTTCGGAAGTGGCTTGAAAGAGTAGAAATTGGTCAAATAGACAGATAACATGCCAGAGGAGTTGGTCTGCTAAAGCACAACAGATTGTCACACCCGAACTGTACTCCTTTAGCAGACCAACTCCCCTGGCATGTTATCTGTTTCTTTGGCCAATTTCTACTCTTCCAAGCCATTTCTGAAGCCTGGTAGAGGCTAGTGCTTCCTCACCAGACTGCCCGGCTGCCTCCACCCCTTCGTCCGACGAGTCTTCGTACACCTCGCTCTCCCTGCGCTGCCGGCGCCGGCCTTTGTTGGGCATCTCGTGTGAAGCGGGCTTGACCGAGTTGTCCACCACGCGCATCGAGGTAACTCGTGAAACTGGGGAGGGAAACAACAATTCATGTTTGTTTATTTGTTTGTCTGTTTCACCAGGCCTTTGTTTGGCATCCCGAGTGAAGCGGGCTTTACCCCCGAGTTGTCCAGTTGGTCTGATACTTCTGGACATTTCGAGTGACATCTCTTCTTCAGCATCACTAAACCGAACTGACAGAACATTTGTATACGATGATGAGGAACTGGAAAAACTGGTTGAACATACATTTGTAATTACAACGTAGGACAGTACTGTAAATGGTTAACTGGGACATAATTTTGTGGTAGGAGGGAAAAGAAACATTCAGTGTTTCACATTTGTGGTTGAAACAACAAAGAAGTACTATACTAGCTAGTACAGCACACATATTTTTGGTGTGATGAGTTTTTGGTGAGAACTCACCAAGAAAATTACGAAAATAAAAAGCTGCAAATATTTCACAATCTACAGTAGCACTTCATATGTAATTGCTTAAATGTAATTTGCTCATATCTTTCTGACAGAGAATCAGAAACGTCGGATCTTTGTTGTACATCTTATTCCAGTTTGGAGTTTATTTTCATCAATGGTACTTTAAAGTAAAACTCGAACCTTTGTACGTGTTTTGACAGAAACAAATGGAGTTTGGTTATATATTACGTCACTGTGTCTGCGTCATGTGCGGCCCACGCGTTGGACCGAAACCTGCCAGGCCATTTTTCTTCCCTTCAAACGCACACACGTGTCACACTACCGAAGAGGAATTCTGTCCATCTGCCAAGCAGTTGTACTAAAGGCGGTGGCACATATTAAATATGTAAATTTGATCCATATATCACCACAAAAAATCGAATATGGAACACAAAGTCTGGAAAGTTACAAGTCAAACCTCTTCGTTAGATGGGCGAAAAACGTGGCTATTTTTCAGTTTTATCGTTCCAAAATTAGTCTGAGTATTCTTAAAAATGTTATCAAACGTGTGGTACCTTTACTGCGACATATAAAATCCCCCGTGCCGTCTGAACCGCCGTCAAATCCCGCAAAATCCGGAAAACTTTCACCTGGTTCCTGGATCTAAGACATGTGCGTCACGCAGGTCAGGGGACGTTTTGCGGCATTTACGACAATTTGCATTCTTAGACGTTTTGAACCAAAAAAGTGACTATTATTGATCATATCAACTAAATCTTATTATGAAAAATCATGATGTATACATTTTATGCAATGAAAATATTGGAATTTAGCAGAAAATAATAAACAACATTTACTGTCGTAAACGCAGACCGATTTGCGTCTTAAGCTCCGCCTTAAGAGGGTCAAAGGTCAGCAAGTCGTGGCAAGTGGTGATTGCTGGACGGACCGGCGTTTTGACTTTCGAGATGTTCTGTCGACAAAAGGACCTTTCCAGACATCCTGGAAGTGCAAGACAAGTCAGGACAGGTTTAGAAGGAGTTGGGCGTGTAAAAGAAGGTGTATTTGTGGTCATCTCGGGGACAGCTAGCTTTTAGCACTTGCTGAAGTCTTTGTCGTCTGCTAGAAGAGTACAGCTGAGATTTGTGTTGGTGGACAACATCTCAGGTGGTGCCGGTACGAGTCAAGTTTCGCGCCAAGACAATTTTACAAGGCTTGTGTACAACGTAGAGATACAGCCAAGCTTCCAATCCCAAATTTTGTACCAAACAGCCTTTGCAAATTTGATACCAATTCAACATTGTAGGTTTAGTATTTTTCTTCCAAATTCTTTTTTAAGGGGGATTTTTTTTCACAACAAATAATCATGCCACAAGTGGGTATCAACGCTCTTCAGTTCTTCCTGATCCTGATGGCTGTTCCTGCTCAGTACTTTGTGTCTGAGATGTGGGGTTCCACTACTGAGCATCAGAGAGCACAGGCAATGAGGGGGTAAGTGTTGATTACATCACCCTATATTTAGATGTTAATATGAACTGTGAGTTGTGAAATATCTGTAGGTGTTACTGTAACGTTGCTACTATAAATGCATTTACATTTTCAGTGGTTTTATTTCAAGGCATGAGGGAAAAGGATGTTTTTGCGGTGTCTAAAATTCATGATTGAAAGAATTCTGTATTACAATACTGATCGAGGGATACAAAACACATATTTGTAGTTTCGTGATTGTGTGTTGACAGGAAACAGCGAAAATGTGAAAATCAAATCAGTTTTTGCATTCACAGTAGTGTATTCTGCCAACTGTGTTTGTTCATGTAAAGATCCCAACAAGTATCTTAATTCCCCTCCTACTGCAAAGTTGTAACTGAAAGTTCTTGTGAACTGAAAATAATTTACAGTATTGTAACAAGTGCTTCTAACCTTAACAAACTGTCCTACATTTTAAGATTTCATTATCACACATATTGCTTCTATTTCAGCTTGCTGGTCTCCTTTAAAGACTTAAAACAGAACTACTTCAGCCTTCGCTCCTGGAGGGACTGGGTCAGGAAGACCATTTCCTCCATCACGTCGTCTGTTGAAGACAACAATAATGCCTTCTCTAGAGGGGAGTCACCGGCATATGAAGTACTTCAGAGAAGGTCCCCAGAGGGATATTTTGCAGGTACATGTTTATTCATATTCATACTCCTTAAAATAATTGGTCTGCTGGTGGTGCATTGGTTTGGAAACATGACTGTAGCATGACTACATGCTGGAACTGCTACAAGCTAGAACTGTTACTGGGAAACATGTTGTATTTTGGGATTTCAGTTGAAATATTTGTCCCTGTAGAAAATAAAGTACAGGTCCTGATTATTGTTGTACCACACCGAAATCTAAATAGAAAAAAGAGAAGAAAAATAACACAAGAGAATACCTACTGACCCTATTATTTCAGGACTTAAACCAAAAACACATTTTTTTCCTAGACCTGTGTTGTCAACTTTTTTTGGGGTTTTTTAACACCATTTCTATACCACAAATATTTTGCAGGTTCAACTGTTCCGAGAAGCCCTCGCCCAGTCCGTGTGAAGTACAGGGTAGGACAGACCATCAAACACAAGAGATACGGGTACAGGGGAGTCATCATTGGCTGGGACACTATCGCAAAGGTAACCAGATGAGGTTGTGTGTGTGTGTGTGTGTGTGTGTGTGTGTGTGTGTGTGTGCATGTGTGTGTGTGTGTGTAAGGCACGATATTGTCCTTGGTGCTGAACATCTTTCACACATGTGCATCAGGATTTATCACATTTAAGTTAGGCACAGGACAGTACTGTCAGGCCATTCCACACACCTTGTACCTGGTACCTGTTTTCGTCTAAATATGGATCTGGCCAAGTCAGTTACTACACATTGTACTATTATTCAGATCAATGATTATGTGGTGTTCTATCCTGTAATGCTGTGCTGTTTTTTTCCCACAGGCTCCTCCAAATTGGCTGCTGGCAAATCATCCTGCAGATAAACTAGTAAGTTGTACTTAAGATTTATAAGTTACCATACCATTAACTATTATTTTAATAATAGACTCCTCAGTCATAGCAATGATGGTAATATTAGTCACTACAAAGTATTGATTGAATTGAAGTGATACTTAAGACTGCAAGTTGTTCAAACTGACAAATACCCCTTCACATCTAAATTCTATACAGCACGTGTATTGCTTTTAAAGCACAAGGTAAAACATTGGAAGAATAAATTTGAAGCGTAGCATCTTTGTTAATGTTGCAGTTAAGACCATTCCATTGGATGGCAGTCTCATATGTGTTTTTTTGTTATCATATTTCCTCTGTCAGCATTGGAAAACTCTCCCCAACTACTCAGTGCTTGTAGATGAGAGAGACAGGCCTGATGGACAGAGGACATACGTGGTGGAGGAAAACATCCAGGTCACGTACAACATGAAGGTAAAGTAGGAAACACTTTGCTATTCAATCTCTTATTTCTTGTACAAAGTTCTTTATTCAGAACCACTTGTTAGCAAGAGCCTCATGCTTGTTAAACAAGTGGTTTTGTATAAAGAACTTTGTTATTCAATCATTCACCAACCTGTTGAAATTAGTCAAAGAGGAAGTCAGATTTTAGACTTTGGAGAGTATTTTGAGTTTTTTCAATCTTCAAGTTCACCTCATTTCCTGGACCTGACCTTTTGACCTCCTGTCATTCTGTCAGTCTTTCCCCCACCCATGTGCTGTCAACATATTATCAAGTTCACCCAATTTTCTGTGTCTAACATTTGTTCTTTTTGTTGCTCATACAGATCAGGCATCCTGATATTGAGGAGTATTTTGACAAGTTTGACGGGGCTCAGTACCTGATGAGGCCATGGTTAAGTAGAATCTACCCAGAAGACTGAAACAGCCATTTCATCTGACTCTCTCCACACATGGCCATATTGTATAATAAGATCACACATGTAACGTTATATCAGCATCAAAATATAGCAACAGTTTATAAACTGCTTGACATACTTTGATATAGATTGTACATTTTTGTGTGGAAAGTTGGATATGTTTTTGAAGCTTCTATAAAAATGACCTGTAGACAATCGTCACAATTGGTTGAATGTCCTGTAACATTACATGTATAACGTTACCAGTAACAACATGAAAATAGCAATTCAAACATATAATGTTACATATAACATTACATAGTATACTAGTGTGGAAGTACATGTACATGTATGTTCACCTGTACAAGTGCAATGTCGTGTAGAAGATCAATGATACATGGATGTCATGATAAGGGCTGATTGTAAGATGTTACTCAAACAGTTGCTATTATCATTACCCAATTTGGGAATAATTGTGGTCAAGAGTTGTAATTTTCATAGCATTCAAGCAATGAGCTAAGGTTGGTCAGTTGTAACTGGCCACTTACAAGTTACCATTCCTTTATTGGTACAAATGTAATTTTTAAATCAATCTTCCAAATATTTGGACATCTATATTTTTGTGTTAACAAATTGTTATTGAGGTAAATTCTGGATACTTAAAAAAAAACTGATACCAATAGTGTTTTTTTTTAGAAAAGGTACATTCTCATACTAACGTTACCTAATATATGACATAGAACAACAAGACAAAGTGCCATGTTACTTTAAATTCCTTTGCTGTTGTGAATTGACCCCCCAAGATGGTACTGTACATGTATACTGAATCTTGAAGCAATATGTACCCAGAGTGATGTTTTTGTCAATCCGTGCAAGGAGGTTAACCTTTGACCCCCTTGATTCGTGCAATGGCTGATGTAAATTTGTCTAATAAGGTCTTCCACAAGACTGGGAAGTAGTGTAAGATAGGAGTCGGACTATGCATATAAAATATAACTTTAACTTCTGTTACTGCCTTTACTGGCTATATAGCAATAGATGCTTTGAATGCTGATTTTGTTTATGTAATGTTGTGATGACATTGAGAAGGCTATAGTGTAGCTTGAATACATTTTGAAATTGAATACATTATTTGATTAAAAGAATTTCTCCATCTACACCTGGTCAACATGTGATTTCATTCAAATGTACGAGCACACATACACACACACACACACACACACACACACACACACAAGCACACACGTACACACACACACACACACACACACACACACACAAACAATACCTCCATGCCTTTAATTTTTCAAAATGCAGTTTATTTTTGTTTGTTTTTTCATGTGAATGATAATATTTTGCATATGATCTTCAATAAGCTAGGAAAGATATAATAGTACATAAACTTGACTTAAATCTTGTCGCTCCTATGTCGTCGCCAAAAATACTGCAATTCACGTGTAAACTGATAGATGTCGCTTGCACCAGTCCCATGGTGCTTCAGCCAAGATGGCCGTCCCTGGCGCTGAATAGTCAGACTCCGGAGAAAAACACCTTATTTTCTCCCCATTCGCCCAGCTTTCCAGAACAATTCAGCTCCGGCGACGACGTGGGATGCCCGGCGGTCGTAGAGGTCTGTCGCGGCAGCAGCTGAGCCGGTCTACAATACCGGTTCAAAGTATTAGCCCCTCCCAGACTGCCACGTTGCGGGCAAGGTTGGTTTGTTGTCGTCTTCATCCTTTCTTGGAATTTCCTTCTCGTTCCTTCCAGGTTCTTCCACGTTTCCGAGGAAGCAAAGAGCTGTGTGATACTTTTGTTCATAAGGTTTTCAGTCACTGATCGTTTCTTCGTGTTGATTTCAGTGGTATTTTCCTTCCAAAGTTACCACAGCGTCTTTACTTTAATTACAAGTGCAAGATAAACAAATCACATCACCCAACCGTGACAGACTTGATACACTGGATATTTCCTTCAACAGCTTTAGATCTAGGAGTGTTTCAGGGGGTCTGTGTAGGTACATTTCTATGGTTTAGATCCTGTCGCAGCTTTTTGTTGTTCATTTTTCGCTCCATCTATATTTGCAGGTTTCACATGGAAGAAGGTGAAAGCAGAAGTTGTTTGTTTATGTTTACCATCTGATCAGCATGCATAGCTGTTGGTAGACGAACAAATTAACCATCATGCTTTTGCAGACAGTGTTTTCTGTTGGTATGATGAAATTATGTATAATTCATACTGCCTTGCATGTACAGAACCAGAGAATGACTCTTATCTTTTGGACTTCCTTCTTTCCTCAGAGTCACACAGTCTGACCTCAGGCCAAATTTCCAATTTTCAGGCTTCCGCCGTGGTAGAATTCCAGGAATAACAACATGGCCTGCCAAACTAACAGGAATACACATGTACTACAGTTAGCCTTTTCTGCACTTATCTGTATAAACTGCAGGGGGGAGGGGTTGTAGAAACATACCTTTATAACTCAGTCAAACCTGAGTTTTGGTGACCAGCTGCAGTACCAAGGAAAGCTGCAAGGAGGCAATGATCGGCATTGATATTCGTCTTCCTACTTAGTACTGCCCCTCCCATCAGCTTTTTAAATGGACTATCCCAACAAATGACAGTACACACAAATCTCACACCGGTTATTCCATCGCAGGAATGGGGGTGGCCACAGTCCCACTATCCCAACTAATGACAGTATACACACATCTCACCCTGGTTATCCCATTGCAGGAATGGGGGTGGTCACAGCAACACTATCCTAGCCTGGAATCCATCCTTGAACGCTTTATCTCCGCTCCGTTCCTCCACTCTGCCTTCAGAGCAGAGGAACGGAGCGGAGATAAAGCGTTCACGGATGGATTCCAGGCTAACACTATCCCAACAAAATTTGACAATACACATTCACACTGGTTACCCCATTACAGAAACGGGGGTGGCCACAGCCCCACTATCGCAACAAATGACAGTACACATCTCACCCGGTTATCCCATTACAGGAACGGGGGTGGCCACAGCCCCACCAGCCCTCCCCTGGCGGCCCTGATCACCATCATCCCCATCAAGCACACGCCGTTCCCAGACATCCCGATGGAGAACAACATCGTGTTTGAGTCCATCCTGCTGATCTACTTGCTGCTGGCCCTGTTCCTGCAGTACGTCAACATCTACAAGACCGTCTGGTGGATGCCGTTCGCCGCAACCAACACCGCATTGGTAAGATTTGGTGGTCTTTCTAAAGGTGTAGACATTGGAACTAATGCTAATACCATTGAGGATGGTGTCTTTGTTTGTTTTGCATAACTGGAAAACTGATATTCTTTTTGACAAGTGCTTGAGGTGTGGCTCTCCTCAAACATGGGACCTCTGCTTTATGTCCCATCCAAGAGAATATCCATATAAAGCTGCTTGTAGGCACTCATGATCATTTTTACCTGAGTTGTACAATCTCACAACATTGGGGTCTGTTAGAGATTTGAACCCGGAATTTTTAGGTTCCAACAATCGTAACCACAAGACTACCTTGTTGATACATGTGTGCATGTAGTGATTTTAAGGTATTTTAAGATTTTGAAGGATTTATTCATCAACAAGGCAAACAGGAATAGCAGAATGTATGCACCCAGGTGTAAGCACCCTCTATCAGAGCATATGGAAACTGCATTGCTCCATCAGCCATCAGCATTTGTTGTAAATTGTACAAATGTCTCACAGATCATCACTTAAGTGCATTCTCCTTTGTCCCCAGAACTTCTACCTGATTGACATCCACCTTGTTGTGTTCATCTGTGTGATCCTGGCCAGAAGACTGGTGTGGAAGTTCTTCACAGAGGTAGGCACATGAAAATATTGACACTGCTCGTTGAAACACAAGTACATCAGTCGGACTCAGTCCCATTTGTATCAAATGCTTGTATAATATGAATGCAGGGCTCCAAATTCACTTATGGGAATAGTGCTGCAGCTAACCTAAAATGTAACTGTGTAAATACAATTTTGTCAGATACAAATGTGTGTTTCTGTTGATTGCTACATGTAAGTGCTGTAAGCTCTTTGTGTAATTCCTTTACTTGTTTATTACTGCTACATGTATGTGGAACAATAAGTTTTCTATTTCTTACTGTGAAACTTTCCTTTGATCTGATGCTGTCTGTATCTTTCCTCCCTCCCCATGCGTCCGTTTGTGTGGACCAGGCTCGTGCGGTACTAAAACATGTTTCTCTACTGTATTTGTTAACTCATTAAAAAAAATGGACACTGTTTTAGTGCTGTAGTCACTTTAGATTGAAAAGATGCCAGATTGAAAAGATGCTGGGAATCTGGCCAATGTGGTCAGCTTTAAGCTGTGAATTCTAACTTTTTGTTTTGTGTGTATGTTGTGTGTTGGTTTGTTAGGAAATACACACAAAGCTTGTTTCTTAGATTTACCTACATGTAATTCCAAGTTTATCATTGCTTTAGCACAAAATACAGTTTATTGATGATTGTATTTCATGATTTGAAATTGTCATAAGTGTCTATACATGTACAGGCTGTTAAATGAGAATGTATACTCATACTGCATGCCCATGTGGGACTTTTTTCTCTGACACTTGTCAAAGTTAGCAAGCTAGTATTTGTTTCTAACTTCCTTCCCAGGCTTTTGTGTCGTACGGCTACAACACCGTGACCTTCTGGATCGTGCAGCCCATCAAGGTCGTGCTGCTGTTGACCTTGCTGGGGTCGTTGACCTGGACTCTGCTGCCCCTGTACAGCAACAACTCCATCCTCAACCTGCTGTTCCTCTGTTACCCGTAAGTACCAGAGGTTAGAGGTCATGACCCTGACTGACCCGAAAACCTATGTGGCCAAGGGCTGGAAGTATTTGATCTACTGTTGATTGCAGAAAATTTCACGGCCAGTGGCTTTATTTTTGCATACTTTTTGTAAGTCTATTGTGGTTGTACTATAAAATCGTTTCAAGTGGGAATTTCAAACACTGTGAGAGCCTCATGTTTCCTCATGTAAAATAAACCACTGCGAAAGTTTCTGCATTTACTGTATTATGTTGGTGCAGTTATCTTTTGTGCTTCAGATTTTCTCATCCAACTGGGTCAATCTTTAAAAGTTTTTCAGCAGTTATGTTCTAAAAATATGCCTCTCCCTCTAGGTTCGGCATATATCTCCTGTTATATGGAATCGGAAACGATCAGATGTACTTAAACAACGAAGACAACCAGGCAACACAAGGGTTCCCCCACCCCCAGTCCTCGGCAAAGTCCAACGGAGAGAGCAGACACCGCGATGACAGCCGTGCCGTCAGCCGGGACACCAGCACACTGATAAAAGGACACCTGTGGCCAGACTTCCCCCAGCATCAGTGTCTGCTCTGTCCACAGTCTATACGGGATGAGGTAGGGAAGGATGCATTCTTAACAAAAAGCAAGAGTCAGGAATAGTCAGTATTTTAACATGACTTAGGCTCTTGTCATGTGTGTTGTATGGTAGAACTAAGCAGCAAATTGAGGATATTCTTCTTTGGACAGCAATGACTGTAGTGTGCAAAATAAAGCTGCCTTTGGGTTGAAGATGTTCTAATGTACACACACACATGTGCATGTAGATCTTTTAATAATGACATTATGTATTCGTTATTGGTCAGATCTGTCGTAGTGTCAATAAAAATTGTACCAAGAAAATTTTACGATGTTTATGTGATGGTGTCTGGAGCCATTAAAAAAAAGATTATTTTGCTCCTTGCTAATTTGGTCTTTCTCACCATTTTCTCTATATTGTATGTTGACATCAATGTAGTGTTCATATTTACTTGTATATCCAGAGTTTTGATAGTTATATTTTATCCCACCCAGGTTGAAGTCATGAAAGCAGATTTTAACAACAGAATAAAGGAGATCCTGTTCAACTCCATGCTCTGTGCTTACTATGTCGGATTTATCCCAGTCTGTTTTGTACAAGTAAGTGTACAATATTCTAAGTCTGCATTGTTCAATACGAGTGATCACTGTTTTCGTTTACATCATGCATGCAAATTATTTGAAGAGATGCAAGTTGTAGGCAAATCAGCCAACTGTCACCTGATATTCCCCTACCACTCGCTTGCTGTGACGTCATGGCAATTGCTCATATAGTATTACTGTGCATGTCTAAGTATACACATTGTCAAGCTCATATACATAGATGGGATGTACATATTATCAGCAGCTGCTACAGTTTTGTTTGTTTTCGTGCAGAAATACCTGCATTATATGACGTGAAGAAAGATGGCGGATGCTCAAAGATTCTAGTTGTAAGATTTGATTTGTTCATAGATTTTCACTGATCCCCATTTTATTTGTGTGTTTTCCTCAGAAATACCTTCACTACGACGTGTGGTGGTCGTGCCAGCACATCCTGTTTGTGTGGATCAACACGTTTGTGATGCTGATGGCGCAGTACATTCCCCCGTCCTACTGCGACACGCTGCACAGATGTGCCATGCATCTCGGCAAGTGGCAAAAAGTCGACGGATACACAAACACACCCCAGCACACGTGAGTACATGAATAGCAAAGTTGTTTAAAGTTAGAACTTTTGATCCAACACAAAAAGTACTCTCACCTAGAGCTTTCGTCCAGTCACTCTGGTCTTCCTCAGTAGACTGACCCAGTGAAGCTTGTCATGTGGCTTCTTTGAAGTGTGATGTCAACACTGAGGAAGATCAGAGTGACTGGTTGAAAGCTCTAGGTGAGAGAAATTTTTGCATTGGATCAAAAGTTTTAACTTAGTACCTACAATATTTTTCACACCAAAATACAGCATCCTTTTGTATATTTAATCATGATGATTTTGCCCTGTTTGCATCTCTACATGACTTTTCACAAGCAAAATTTAATTGGATTAATACTTATTTCTGAATTTGATTGTTTCTGATTGGGTGGAGACAGGTGGACAGAACTCACCACGTGGCCGTGCGGGGTCCTCATCAGACACAACAGAAACCTGTTTAAGGCAGTCGGACCACAAAATGTAGCCATCCCTTCAGATGCTTCACACACCAGGTTCTATGTAAGTAGTCTTCTGTAAGGTTGATTAGTCTCATAGTATGTTTGTTCTTAGTGTATACATGTAGAAGTAGTAGATGTCTTATGTTGTACCTTGTACAATCATTGTACAATATTGTTCATTGTTTATCATATTGTTAACCATTGTTTATCATATATTATTGGAAATTTTGGGAGTTGTCAACAAAGTACCTGAAATATTGTGGAATTTTCTGTGCAAATCAAAGGCTTATTTAGTTTTACAATGACTTCAAAAAGACACTAAAGTTTATTTGTATGTCTTCACCGTAATGATGAAGTTTCTCTTGTTCCACAGATGTTGTTCAGTAACCCGCTGTGCCTGCTGAACTGCCTGGCCCTGTTGGAGCTGGTTGTGGTGTGTTATCAGCTGTTCCTCCTCCTCTTCACAGTCTACAAGTGGGACCACATCCTCTCTGTGTCTCTCATGCTCTTCGTCAACTACTATGTCCTCTTCAAACTTCTCAGAGACAGGTTCATTCTGGGAAAAGTATACGCAGCTTCTGCTGAAGCTAGCCAAACCTAAAAAAATAGTGCAGAATGACTGCAGAAATAGGCTAATGTGCTAGAGTGTATGCCTAGCACTGAATGTGCTAGTTGTATGCCTAGCATTGAATGTGCTAGAGTCGTATGCCTAGCACTGAATGTGCTAGAGTTATGCACCTAGCACTGAATGTGCTGGTGTCGTATGCCTGGCACTGAATGTGCTAGAGTCATATGCCTAGCACTAAATGTGCTGGAATTGTATGTCTAGCACTGAATGTGCTAGACTCATATGCCTAGCACTGAATGTGCTAGAGTTGTATGCTTAGCACTGAATGTGCTAGAGTCGTATACCTAGCACTGAATGTACTAGAGTTGTATACCTATAACTGAATGTGCTAGAGTTGTACACCTAGCACTGAATGTGCTAGAGTTATACACCTAGCACTGAATGTGCTAGAGTCGTATGCCTAGCACTGAATGTGCTAGAGTTGTACACCTAGCACTGAATGTGCTAGTTGTATGCCTAGCACTGAATGTGCTAGAGTTGTATGCCTAGCACTGAATGTTTATGTAACCTGCTATATATGTGTTGGTTTGGTTTATACCATGTACATGTAGATTTCAAGCATATTTTATCGGTGAAAGGGTTTGAGAAATCCCACAAAGTTTGCAATTTGAGGCATTCAAGTCTCGACATTGCAAACTGTTGTGAGATTACCTCAAACGTAACGATCTGTTGGTCCAGTGTGTGACTGTAATCATCGACAAGATAGATGTTATACATCTACATTTAACTCTTGCAAAGTCTAGGTGGATGGCCATAAAAAATGAGTTGCAGTTGCAATCTTAAAGATACTGAAGTTTCAAGAATACTTCAAGAAGGAGACCGGTAGATGTTAGATACACAGAAACTTTCATTTCATGGGAACTAAAAGGTAGCTATTAGTATTCAAATCATTAACCAGACCAGGGAAACATACAGTCCTATGTTTTTCTGAGATTTTGAACATTAGCCATATCAATGATGGTGCTATCACAACTATAATATCCCAACTCCTCAACATTTAATAACACCAATGGGTGCTTTACTGTACCCAGAAGTTGCTAACATGGACAAGATTTGGGCAACTTTTCCTGACCTTCAGCTATCATATTAACCCAATACATTCTCATCTATATTATACTCTTGAAGATATATATCTAAAGTATAATATTCTCATATCTTTGCTAGATGAGAGAGATATAGAATATGATATCTCATTGGTGTTATCTATTACTTTCCAGGTGACTTTTGACATTAATCTTAGGACTAATTATGTTTATCCAAAAGAAAGTTTACACTTTTAACAGAGCTAAACTTTGAATCTTCATCCTGTTGTAAGCCATGCAGTTTCTCTCACTGTTACCAAACCCTTATCACTAATGGCCAGCATTCTCCCTGAAAAGTAGGACCTTGAAGCTTCCAGCTGTGCTTGTGGTTAGTTATTGATCAGATACAGTACAGGTCAGCCAGGCTAGGGTTGAGTTTCCATGTTCTATTGTCCTGAATTCCCGGTGTATTGTTCACAGAGGCCACGAAGGTTAACTAATGGATTCCCTGCTTCAAACTTTCGACTGAAGAGATATCCTTCATCTATGGTGAAATGTTAAAAGGTGGTACAGCAGTGTTATAGGATTACAAGCATACGCAACTTGAAGGCAAGATTAGGCTGGGTTTTACATCTTTATTTCTGTGAGGAAATGAGGGCAAAGATCAGTGAAGGTAGTCCATTAAGTAATGTAAATGCAAATCCCTTCTACCTGTTAATATGATGGTGTTTTGGTGCCACATCTGTATTGGTTATGATCTTGATATAGCAGAAAGGCCACATCACAGTGGCTGCATCCAAAAATATGCTCAATGGTCAATGGATTGATCATTTACATGCAGGTCACAGTTCTGGGAGAAGCTCCTATGTCAGAGTCAGCAGGAGTTTTGACCTCACATCTCAAAAACAGGAGAGTTTATTTGCTGACAAATCCTACTGTGCAATATTCTATCACTACAGCATAGCTTGTACTGCTGGCTTCTTTCCCAGAAATGCTTCTCTGCTGACAGACTGTTTTCAAAATTGACTGGGGTGCATGCTTCATTAGCTCCAAAGACAAATCATGCAAGCTTAGGTCTGGTTTGAGTTACAAAGATGTTGAAAACTACTGTTGGTGCTCTAGATGCTGTTTCTCAGAATCACGTAGCTATTGTCTGCACAGTGAAATATGTAATCAGTGGATATCAAACCAGCTTCTGTGTCATTTTACTGCATTCAAAACTGCACAAGAAGACCACTCGGGATATATAGAATCTGGTCTATGTGGACAGGTTATTATAGGCAGGATTCTGAATACTTGTGTCAATGGGAAAAATTATGTAACAAACCATTAACAAGCGGTCACGTTGGCCAGGTGGTCCTTGTGTAGAGGTGGCCGGCTACTTTTTCATGTTTGTATCTCAGTGTATGGGCCATTATTTTTAGGTACATGCAACAGATCTAAATGCTTAAGAAAGTTAACAGTGATCTAATCGGGTAAAACTCATTTACATATAGAGGAGCTGAGATGTAACAGCCAATTCTACAGAAAGAGGTTATGTAAGAACTTTCTGGAAGTTCAAATTTACTCTTTGTGCCACACGGAAATGATAAACAGTGAAAAATACCTACGAATATCTTACAGAAAATTATGTTACTTTGTGGTGACCTGCTGTTATAATGGTATATAAGTGAAATGTGTTGTGTCAAATGTTTCTATGTTATGGTACACTTAAGAACAACATGTCAGATACATACACTGAGGAAAGACTTTCAGAATATGTACAGTTACAATTCTTATCATCATAGAGGGGCATGGCATGAGTATACTGGGTGAATGTGCCTGTTTCTGAACTTGGTAACTCTTGGTGCTTTTCCAAACAATTTGTTTAGTATCTTTAGTTTGAGATTCATATGGAGATACTGGCCATGACACACGTGTACTGCTTTAAAAAGAGAAAAAAAAAAGTTTGCTGGACAAATATACTAAACAAGAAAACGTATTCTAGTTATAATATCTTTATTAACAACCAATAAAGTATTCATATACACATTGGCTTGCGCCTCTTTTACAGTTACAAATATATTTTCCACCAGTAAGTCTTTTACACAATGCAATTCGCAGATTCCCTGAATGACACTTGTAATACAATTTGTACATCTGGTTCGTCATATAAGTATTAGGCAAGGCATGGACAAGCACATTTATCTCTTAAATACGTTTCTTTTATGCTGATTCTATTCAGTATGTTCACAATTTTATGTTACAAAATGACAAAGGTACAATGTATGAGATCATGGGACTCTAGTTTCATATATACAGGTAACACAATATCTTAGACGACTGTATCAACTATTTAGACATCAGCAGGGTCACAGGAGTTGTCTTGAGTAAATTTCTAGCTTTGTATGATGAGGTGATAATTGAAATGCAACAGTTAACCTGACTCAATATCAACAGTACAAGATAAGCCGAAGAGCAGTTATACATTGTACCAGTACACAGATACAAAACGTTTTCAGAATCCATAGTTGAAATTCAGTTACCAGTACCTTGAACGTCTTAAATCTTAACCATTTTTTTAAAACTTTTCTTAACTGCTATTTACCCGTTTTGCTCTTTGTAATAGCCTTTTCCGGTACGGTGGCCAATTATTTGAGTCACACATCATCATCACACTCATGGCACCCAACCAGCTATTTACATCTTGGCCCCGGCAAGCTTTTTAAAAAAAGCATTTCTTGTTATACTTCAGAGTTCAGACGAAACTTCACCTGAAAATGTTTTGATATACTTCAGGCGACAGCCTCGGCAAGAGTCATGTCCATCTTCTTCACACTGGTACAGGTCAGGTAGTGCACGATGTTTCTGAGGATGACCCAGCATCCCTTGCGGTAGGGTTTGCAGATGGCGATGTAGAGCAGCGGGTTGATGACGCTGTTAAACGTCATCAGCCGGGCGGCGATGAAGTCTATGTCGTCATCCATCCATACTCCCAGCTGATTGGTCAGGATCCGAATCTGCAGCAACAACAAAAAAATCATAATGGTATTAAACATTAGCTACATCTTCAGAGGTGGTCGATAATGTAGTAGAAAATATTTTCAAAAATGAAGAGTTTATCTACATTTACTTCTGGGACAGAAGTATTGTATTGGGTAGTGTTAATTTATCCTAGGTTTGTATGTTTGGGTTCCAAAGTGAGTGGACGGATATTGGAATTCACTTGATTGCCCTGGGTTCATGAATCTGTAATTTCTTGCTTGCGTTGCAATGCTTGTTGTATGCATTGCCATATGGATGGGACGTTGAAAGATGTTATGGATGTACGAATCATGTAATTTTTCTTCCAGTTTGCGGCCCCCGAAACAATTTACCTGCCCAAATCGTAAAAAAATTCCAGCTATCCTTCTGAATTTTTACCACGTCATTTTTGTAATGGTTTGCTTACTCTCCACAACCGAGTGTCCCTCCTGGTTAGCTAAGAATTGCTTACAAAAACGCAAAGTCAGCATGTTCTTTTTTAAATCCCATATTTAGCATCACTACAAACTTTGAAAAAAATGTAGTGATTAATGAAAACTGAACAGCATACATGTATCTTCATTCGTCAGCCGTGCCAGCACACAATTAACACTGTAAGATCCCATCCTGTGTCCCCAGATAAATCCTTAAACACACATTAAGTTCCAGCCATGCGTGCAGCAGCCTGCTGTAATTAACGGGGTTACACAGCTGATTTATGTCCCCAATTACTGGGACGACGGAAGTGTCCAGGCGAATCGGAAAGATTGCTGGCGCTGCATGCAAAATGTGGACAAGGCGCGGTGCGGAGAACTTTAACTTTAACTTTTAACTAGAAAGGTAACATTTTCAAAGCAAATGCATAATGTTTAATTCTGACTCAAATATATTACATACATGTATATGGTCAGACAGGAATATAAATCCCTTCTACTATAAAATTGCAACATTGTGTAAGGCCACACCAAGTGAATTTTATGGATGACGTCCGCGCGCGCATTGATTTTGGCCTGTTCCTAGAAAAAAAAACAAGAAATTCCGCTTCCTGTAACTATGACCAAAGAGTCACGACAGTGCCGCAAATAGGTTTGTATGGACCAAAGCATCAAGCAAGGAAATCATGACTTCCATTAGGAATTCAGTTTGGTACATGCTGCCACATTTGAAGAAACTTGCTGACCGCTCCATCTATCTCCCCAAACTCACAGGACGACAACTGCTGTTCCACCTGATTTATTGCTGTTTTGATGATGAATAAAAGACTTCTTGCTTGTTACACTGTGTCACCTCATTCAATTGGTGTCCTAACATTTGTCGTCTCTTTAGTATATTTCTAATCTAGGCATCTTGTTTTTTAGGGCCCTTCTTGTTTTTTTTTCGCCCTCTCGCATTAGATTTAGGGTCTCCAAAGGACGTCATCCATAAAATTTACTTGGTGTGGCCTAACCCAACACCAGTTACCATGGTGAGAGACGTCAACAAATCAGGTCATTGGCCAGGTCCGAGGTCAGTGTTTGGAACGGAAGAAGAAGGCGAAGAAGAAGAAGTGGAAACGTAGCAAAAACAATATGTTTGCCTTCGGTAAACGTAATGAAGGCATCTTTTGTTAGGTTTCAAACGGCCCCAGAACATTTGATTTTATTTGTAACGGTTTCTTACGGTATGGAGTAAATACTGTAAAATGCGAGGACTTTTTATTTCTCTACACAGGACAAGAAATTAAATACTACGGCGATAGAACCAAAGCGTCTACAATATTATGTATGGGTATCACGTGCCTTTTATTAGATCTTATCACGTAGTGGTAAATGGCCTCATTGACCTCTTTTACCTCTTAAACTGTATGGTTGAAATTTTCATTTGAAATAGCTCAAGTGTATGTTTATACTCTATACAAGTCTTCACATTTTCTGTAATCAGTATAACAGCCACGTGAATGTTCTAGTTGTCTGCGAATTACGCGCATAGAATAAGTACCTTGTTATCGACTGTTTGCACTGTATATTTGCAAGGACTACAATATAAAGAACATTAATATTAAAGTCCAATAATAAAGGGTTAATGCACTGCCCCGAGTTGTATATGGTGTCATAACTGCATGAGCAGCTGCCATAACCACCGAATAAACCACCGTGTGAGCGAAGCGAACGAGGTGGTTTATGAGGTGGTTATGGCAGCTGCCCATGCAGTTATGACACCATATACAACGAGGAAAAGGCAGTGCATTAAAATTATTATCATATAGCCTATCCAAACTGTCAATCAACACAATTCCTGTTTGAAATACAACAGCTTTAATATATATACATACATAAAAATACATTCGAATATATTATACGCTTTAAAACAAATATGGATAATTTCATTTAATGCAAATTGTAGTTTAAATGAAGCTAAACAAAAAAGTTTATTGGACAAGAAAAATGCTACAAAGGTTTACAGAAAGAGTCGCATGCCCCTATACCCTATAACATAATGGTATCAGCCATAACACGACATGTGCTGTTATTCCGCCATAACACCACATGTGCTGTTATCGGGAAATAACAGCAC